TTTGATTTGACGACACAAATTTTGAAGCCAAAGAACACCAAGACAACCCCACCGCACTTATAAAAAGTCCACAAACGCATAGAATTCCAGGCCAACACAAGATATAAATTATTTCCACAATACTCATTTCAATTTTGATAGGTAATATCTTCAAAAAAGAGTTTCAAAGAGGGCCTAGATTGACGTCGAATGTAAACGAATGAAATAACTCGCAGTTGTGGGTTAGGGTTGTTGGTCAGGGTATGCCTTGCCTCCTTACACTTGAATTTGAATCTCCCTTTAAATCGAATATACTTTCCCGTAAATTAGAGTATAGTTTAGAATATCAATTTATATAAAAAATAAAGGCTATAAAATAACTCAACATAAGGGTATTTAAGGAGCCCCAAATGCTTAAAACCACTAAAAAGAATAAAAATATGATGTGAAATTGGAAGTACAAGTAAAATTATTTTTCCAGTTTTAAAACTGTTTTTCTTATACACCATAAGAGTCGAACATAAACCATACCACTTTCCAACTAGTGTCACTTGAGCTGTATAGCTTATAGGTTTAAAAACTAAATATTTTACTCACGACGTTTATGATAGGCTGATAGACCGTACAAAAGTTGAAGATTATTTTTTTTATTTTTAACAAGCTTAATATTCCTTTTGAGAGCTTGGCTTGTTTTTTTGTCTTACAATCCAGCTGAAATGAGATGAACTCGATGTTGAAAGTATTTATTTCATTTCACATTGAAATGTTAAGGGATCTAATATGGACTTATAAAAAATTGAACTATATTCGATAGAAGCTGTAATTTTTTTGACCATTCGAAACACGATATAAACTCGGAGTGTATAGATTCACGACACTCGCTCTATTATCATATAGAAGCATTGTTGCATGGTGAATATTGCATGGTGGAGGGGGGTACGTCGCCATATATTGCAAGTGTGATTTATAAATTGCAAGCAGAAGAAAACCTTGTGCGGCAGGCAGTCTTTCATTGAGGCAAGGACGCTGTCGGGGGTCAGCTTTGTTTTGCTTCCTAAAAGTCTAAGCCAAAAGTTAATTTTATTGGATGAGCTAGTCTTTCTAATGCACCTGCTTTTGCAAAGACTTGACACTAGCTCTCTAGGGGAAACTAGGGCAAGAAACACATGATCGGTCCTTTTTTCCTCAGTCTTGTGCAGAACCTTTTTCTTCTAAGTATTAATTCCACCATTCGTTGCTCGCAGCTAAATGTGACTAATTAAATGATTATCATGACAATCTGCCTGTTAGCCAAGCATGATCGTAGATTCACCAAAAAAAAGGGTGGTAAAAAAATTCGACCAAAAAAATGTGGTCCTAATCAATGCCAGAGTCACAAGTAGTTGTACAATGTTGGCCTCGTGATTTTCTCTTCCAAAATTACATTTGAATTCTTTGGTCCAGTAGTCAGGGCCTGGACTATGAAATATTCAAATATATTCTAGAGCCTATTTCTCAGGCTTTAAGGATTTTATTATTCTTTTTTGTAAGTTCTGAGTTGTATACCCAGAAACAATTGTGCTGACTAATGTTTACATTTTCTGGCCAGGCAATTCTTTGGGCTAAATTAGATCGACCCATTACCTTACACTAATCCAACCCATTTAAAAAGCCATCTAGATTTTTCTGTTTTGTCATCAAACCAAATACCCAAAGTTTGTTTTTTCCAGAACCAAATACCCAAAGTTGGATAGAACATTCTAGAAACACCAACCTTCCTTTTCTCCTTTTTTTAGTAAACAAGACAATCAAATTTTTTCTCACATTTTTAGTAAAAAATTTCTAAACTTCTTTGCTAAAATGGCATCCATCCACCTCCTAATTTGAGTGGATCAAACATAACATTGAGGGTCTTAGAAGAATGATGCTAAAATTGATGTATGGGGATTCTAATGGGGTGTTAGGTGTTCGGATCTTATGAAGAGAATGAATGATTTTGTGACTTGGTCAAAGTCAATGTGAAAGTCAAAGGTCAAATGGTTGACCCGACACTTGACACGATCAACTAAGGATGACTGGGACCAACACTCGTTAGACAAGTGATTGAATTAGTCAAGTCACTAGAGTAATTAAATTGATTAAATTAATTTAATTATTCAATTCAAGTTATGAAACTTTAATTAAAGGTCCCATATGACTTGGAAATTCAAAAGGGATTTGACCATATGAACTTAGACACATTATAGGATTAATATGTTAGACCAAGATAGCAAAAGATGACACACAAGGGGGGGGTGGGGGGGGTGGCTACACTAGAGTTTGGAGGCATTTTTGTCACTCTTGTGATATTTTTGATCCTATAAGTGTGTAGCTATGGAATCATATGATCCTAGGGTTTTCAAGTTGGTGAAATTGGAAGAGAGAAAACATCAAGCTTTCTCTCTCTAACCCCTTCAATCTATCACATCAAGTGAGGGTGCTAGCACCACTTTTCACTTGTTGTCTACTAATTCTCTTATCCCATTCAATCCTTGGTGAAGAGCTTGGGAGAGGTGCATATTTTTGTACCTATTTGGAGAGCTATAAGGTGGAGAATCAACATTAAAGGGAGAGCCAACAACAAAGGGACCACTCCCTCTACTTGAACACCATTCTTGGTTTCAAGATTCGCTATAAGAGGTATAAACATCTTATCTTTCTCTCAAATAGGATTTAGAGAGTCTTTGGTGCACACTTTCATAGACTTATAAAGATTGGGACCAAATAAGACTTGCATGAATCCCTAGTTTATTTAATGATTTCGCTCTTACATTGATTTCATATTAGTTATGGCTTGCTAGGTAATTTATACTCTCAAAGTTTGGTTGTAGAGTTTTTAGAAATCTCTACACAACACCATTCCCACAATATTCCCTTCAAAGGCATGATGGTGAAACTTTTTTTTTTTCTTCATTCTTTTTCTAATAAAAAAAAAAAAAAAAAAAAAAAAAACAAAAACATCACTACATAATTTTTTTTTCATTTTTAATTTCCACTTATTTTTTCAAAAATTGTAATATACAATTAGCACACATATTTTACCATAAATTATAAATTACTATTGTAACAAAAGTAGTTCTAAATATTGTTATATTAATAATAACAATGTCTTTTGAGGGCTTCGGAGAGGGTTAGCATAACAAATATACAAAAATTGTTCAATTTTAACATGCCCAAATAGATCACTACAATATAAAAGAAGCTGATTAGATGCATTCATTAAACTTGTAGTGATGCCATTTCTAAATGCTTCCATCTCTTGTGTTCCATTGTCATGAAGACTATGAAGTTCTTGTTGTACATCAATATCCCCACCTATCTCTTCACTTAAGATATCATTTGAAGCATCAAAATGTCTATCACGTTGGGCATGCCTCCTTATATAATTATGAAGTGTCATTGTAGCAATGACTATCTTCACTTGCATGTTGAATGGATAATTAGGGATATCTCTTAAAATTTTCCATCTTTTCTTCCATACTTCGAAGGTTCTTTCAATAACACTCCTAAGAGAAGAGTGAACATGATTGAATACCTCTTTATAACCCGTTGGTTGGCTTCCCCTACGAAAATATGGGAGATGGTACCTTTCGCCTTTATATGGTCCCAAATAGCCTATCATTTGTGGGTACCCTGCATCTACTAAATAATATTTCCCTGTGAAATACAAGATTCATTTATCTTAATATGTATATATAATTGGACTAAGTAAGTAATGAAAAACACAAGGGTTAATTGAAAAAGTTTTACCACTTGGAGGCTTAGGGAAATTTAAATTTTCATTGCGTAGAACTAAAAGAAACAACTTGTATCATGTGGCCTTCCCACCTAGCACATGCAAATATAAATTGCATGTCAAAGTTGCATCCCTTTCCTACCAATATAAGGTACATGATCTTGAGGTTGTATCGAAGCTTGAACATGTACTCCATCTATAGCACCAATACAATCCTAAAAATGATAGTTTGACAAAATTTTCAATGTGTATAACTATAATTAGCAATAAAAAGTAGAGAGAAGTGATAGATGCAATTTTTACCTTAAAATGAGGCATATATTTAGAATATCTCAATATTGCTTGTGGAATATCACTAAATTCACGATCCATCGGTCTGATGACATCCATTGCCATACGACATACAACATCCAACATGTAACTAAAATATCTACTCACTGTCTTACCAGAGTGTTGAAATCTTTATTGTGCTAACCTATTCCCCACACCATGTCCTAGCATGTGTACAAACATTCCCAATATCTCAATGGAATTCATATTCCTAGAAGCCCTCAACCCATAATTAGATTGCAACTCATTAGATAATCTGTAAAATACATCTTTATCCATCCTCAACATGGTATAACATCGGCTATCATTCCCATGTAATAATTCCATCAACTAGATATTACCTGTTTGTGAAGAATCCATACAAGGATTTTTATGAATATATTTCAAAGAATATAATTCAATTGCTCATGCACAAGCGCATATAGATAGGTTAATCTCCTCCTCTTCATCATATGGATTGTCCATATTTTCAAATAAACCTACAATTTATAATTATAACCATCAACACTCTCAATTAACCATAATCTATGATGTAAATTTAGTCCAAATAATAATTCATTGCAATAAATTAATTATCCAAACAACAAACTAATTATCCAAACAACATAACCACAACAAAGTCATAAGTCAACTGTCCTATTGGTTGTTAAATTCATAAGTTAGCCATGCAAGCTTGACATTAGGAGTCTTCATGGTAGAGAACATCTCTCGCTTCTCTTGATTAAAAAACAATCGAGTTGCTAACATCCACAAAGTGCTAGTAGGTTCACATCTAGGTAAAGATGATACAACTTCCATCACTTCAGGAATACTACTGCCCAATTTCATTTTCATCATCAATGATGTTGTTGTGCTCCTACTCTCAACTGCACCAAAGGTGGTCAATTTGACCAGCTAGTTTTTTAGCACCTCGAACTTTTCTTCCTTTCTTATCTTGCTATTTTTTATTCAATTGTTTAGGTGGTTTCCTTTTCCCTTTCCTTGTAGCATTCTTGATAGCTTGAATCATTTCAATTGGATTGGTATCATATGAGTCATCACTTCCTTTGAGTGAAATAACATCACCCATGGATGCCTTTTCAGTTTCTAGTGGGAGTATACCACATGAAAGTGCCCAAGCATGTTCACCAATAGCTGTGGTATTCATGAACATCCTATCTAGTTTCTCCTCCATCTTAGGATTAATGCCTTTTTTACGCAACTTTGCATATTCAACATTTATGTACATTATAGAGACATATGGATTGTTAATATAAATGCAAGTTAATAAAATAAAAAGGGGAAGACAAAAGATTAATCTAAAAAGAAATATTGCATGCACCTGAATTTTATTATTCCATCACTCATTAGATGCATCAACAGTACCCTTGCTCAAATTCTACCCTAGCCCAGTTTCTTTGCCTACGAGTTATTTCCACAATTTCCACTCAATTTTGAGTGCATCCCACTTATTTTTCAGTTGCCCTTTATCATAATTATTTCTTGTCTCTTTATTAAAGTTGACTCTCAAATTTTCCCATCCTTGTTTTTTAAAATGAGTGCCATGTCATGTCCAGCATCCACTTCCTTGATGCACAGATCACAGAATATGGATATATTTGGAGCATTTGATAAACTTCCTACATTCTTTCTCATCCTTACTAAAGCAATATGTGTTGAGAATGAGAAATAGATAATAGAAAATAATTGTCCCAATATACATTATATTGAAAGGCATAAAAATAGCAAAGTAGAGGAGACAACTCCTAATATACAAAACCAATTAACACTAACAACAAAATAAGTAAGGATTACACTTACTTTATAGCCATAGTTGAAGTAAGGGGTGTAAATTAAACTACATTGCTGTTCAATCAGAAATTTTCCAATACCTAAGCTGATACTTACAATTACAAATATCTTAAGTATTGATTAAGCTAATTTTATTAAGCCAATGCAACTGGAATGACCAAGTGAGATGTGAACATCACTTAGAAATGGAAAATCCTGGAATTAATATAAACTTAATTTTTTGACAAATTTGTGTCATAATTCTAAAGAATTTATGGGTAAACCAAATGAAGAGTATTGTGCTTGGATTCTTGACTCAAAGAAGTGGGGAGGTTTGTTAAAAAGAAAAAAAATTTCTTTTTCCTACATGTATGAATATTGGTTACCAAACAAAATGCACGATGAAAAGCTTTTCTTGTGAAAGTTTTGGTTATTTATGATAGCCAACTAAAGTATCCAAACCTTCATTATACAATACTAGCTTATGTCTTCTTCTACATTATTGAACATTGTTGATATATTTGACAAAAACCAGAAAACCAAAAACCAAAAACACATCCAGGACAGACAAAAAGAGGACCCAAAACGCCATAATAAATCCAAAAGAATATACAAGCTACCAACAAGAAATCAACCAAACAGCAGTAGATCTGACCCAAAGGTCAGTTGAAAGAAAGTTTCAGAGAAAGAGAAACAGAGAGAGAAGTAGATTTGACCCAAAGGCCAGTTGAAAACCCTAGACCAAGCTAGGGAGAAAACAAAACCTTGCCAAAAAGCAAGGAGATACAAACCCAGTACAAAACTAGGAGCAAAACTCTCTCTCTCTCTCTCTCTCTCTCTCTCTCCTTTGTCTTCCCCCTAAAGCCCTAAGAACACAAAGCCCCCAGTCTCATAGGGAAAAAAATAAAATAAAATAAAAACCTAATTTCATAACATATATAAACCCTAAACCCTAAAGAATGAACTCACTGATGAGTGGCTGATCGTTGTTAGCAATTAACTTCCTTGATTGAGATTGGAATTTTGAGATGCAAGGGGATGAAGAAGAAGAAATGTGAGAAGAGCAATGAGACTTTGAGAGTGAAGGTCTGAGAGAGAGCGAGCGAGATCTATTTTGTCGAGAGGGTCAAGTATTGTCATTTTGTAAAATATTTAGGGGCATTATAGGAATAATGAAACTTTCATTAATCAAATAACTTGCTCTTTTTTTAAGCGGCTTTTGAAAGTTGGCTTACGGCCACTTTAAGAAATCGCTTATGAGGACTGTTTTTAAAATAAGCTAGTTTTCTTTGGTTTACCTAGGGCTGGGCTTGGTTTGGGTTGGTTCGGTTTTGGGCTCAACCCAACACCGAACCGTAGGCTTGGATTTGGCTATTTTGAAAACCGAAACCAAACCATAATTGATGAAAACCGACCACTTCGGTTAGCCGGACTTGGTGGTTTGGTTTGGTTCGGTTTCGGTTTTTTGGCTTTCTTAAAGAGAGAGAGAGAGAGAGAGAGAGAGAGAGAGAGAGAGAGAGAGAGAGGAAATAAAAGTAATGGAGAGGAGAAGAAGAAAAAAAGAAGAGGGAGAGATGGGGAAGAAGAAGAAGAAGAAGAAGAGGAGAAAAAGAAAGGAGAGAGAAGAAGAAGAATGAAAAAAGAAGAAGAGGGAGACGGGGAGAGGGCGTGAAGACATATATAAGAAGAATGAGAAAATAAAAATAGAGAGAGGGACTGATGAAGACAAGACAAATGGAGAGATTGAGAGAGAAGAAAAAGAAAAGATTGAAACTATGTATTATATATATATTTCTTATAGTAATATTATATAATATTTTTTAATATCTTTGGTTTGGTTTGGTTAAACCGTGGTTTTGAATATTACAAACTGTACACCGAACCATATATTTCGGTTTGGTTTGGGTTCAAACCGATGACCAAAAAAAAATTGAAAAAAAAACCAAACCAACCCAACCCATTGGTTTGGTTTGGGTGGTTGGCCGGGTTTCGAGTCCAAATGCCCAAACCTAGGTTTACCAAACACTTTTAGTTGTTAAAATTTTATTTTAAGCTGCTTTTTTTTATTAAACAACACTCCCAAACGCCACCTTAAAGGGGTATCATAGATTGTCTTGCTTGTAAAATGTACATAAGGTTTAAAGCTGCGTGATGACATCCACCACCTTAGTGAAAGTTTAATTTCAAAAACCCCAAAATGTCCTTCAACAGGTTTCAACTGGAAGTCATGTAGGAAAAAAAATTGGAATAGTTGACATAAAAAAAATGAAGCAGTCAAAATTTAAAAAAATAAATAAATTTGGCACAAATATTACGGGATGCGTTAGGGGTGTACATCGGTTCGAAATCAATAAATTTTTATCAATCCAATCCAATTCAAATTTTTATTGGATTTGGGATTTTACAATCCGATCTAATGTGTTCAGATATTGAATTAGATTGGAATGGATTATCGGTTTGCATGAAAATATAATAATCACAATGATAATCGTATAGAATAATAGAAATAAATAAATTTTTGAAAACAACACTACAACACGAAGTTCAATATTTAGAGTTCAAGTTACATCCATTCCTTAAAAAAAGAAACGCTTAAGTAAACACAAAAACTTAGAAATCTAGAACTTTTATTATTTTTTTGAAAAGAATATCAACAAAGTTGTGTTGGTGCGTTGGTGTAAGTGGAACGTAAAAGGTGGTTTAGGTTCGAACACTAGGAAAGTCAAATATTTGCATTAAATTAGATCGGTCAATTTTGAAGGATTGGTTTGGATCATGCATAGCCCTAAGATGTGTTTTAACAACTTGATAGTGAGACGCAAAAATAAAATAAGCACTATAATTGGAGAGTGAAACGTATTTACCAAACAAGAAAAGCCTAAAATCGAGATAAAACCTATAAGAGTATATCTCCAATTGAGAGATCAAATTCGGGAATATAAATATGCATTTTTTTGTAGATGTAAATATTTTTCTTTTTAATTTTGTAGGTCGGCCAATGGTTTTGGAACTCATTAGTACAAAGCTTTGTCCGCGAAGAGAAGCGTGTAGTACTGGTTTGTCAACGTGGGATTTGTTTTTTTTAACGTGGGTGACCATTTTGGACTTATTTAGACACATACATTGAATCTCTTATGCAAATGGTCGATTCACCTTTGAAGAACAGTCCCAACAATTATTAAGATTGATAGTGATTTTCCCTTCATCTTAACCCTTACTTTCTATCTGTCCAATGTTTGCCTGCCACGTCAGCACCCATAATACAATATAGCACTATATTTGAGCACTGATAAATTTTGTCATCTACTTGGGTCACTGGCCAATCAGATTAATCAAATTTCACGGGTGAGAGTAGTGGCCCTGCACGTGGATGGTTTAATTCGTACACGAATATTTTAATTTATTCTTGTATAAAATGAGTTGTCTTTTGCCTTGATAGTGGCATTAATTGAACCGTAGAGCCTTTCCCGGGTCTTGCAGGAGTTCCTAGCCAATCACAACTTGTCTCGGAGTGAACTCGGACGAATAGAAACACAACACTTTCCTAACATTTTCAATAGGCTTAATTATTTTGGTGCTCTTGAAAATATGATCGAATCTCATATTATTCTAGGTAAGTTAAACCCATTTTAGCTCCTGGACCCATGTCTATTTAGTGAACTGTCTATCACGTAAGTTCTATATGTGAAAAAACAAAATTTTCTTTTAAAAGATAAATTTAGGGACTATAAAATAAATGATCGTGGTAATAGTTTGTGCTCCAAGATGATTAACAACCATGATTAGAGTTGAACCATCTAGTGGAGACAAAGAGCAGAAAGTAAGTCTATTGTAATAGCAAGGGCACAAAGACAATACAATCTTCTAGTATGTGTTTCTAGGAAGTTGAGTTTGGGTTTGTGCTTGAAAATTGGTTTTATGCGAGCCAAATCGCTTCTAAATGCTTGATGAAAACTATTTTTGAACAAATGTACCCAATACTCATTTAATTGTTTTTCCTTGGTATTTGAATCCTTTTTCTCCTTGAATGTCTCTTAATTGAGTAGTCCATGAGAGTTCAAATGAAAATTGCAAATGCAAAGGGAAGCTACGAAGAGCAAGGGGTGGGTATGGTCCAGATGAGATCGGTTTCACTGCAAAATCGTGGCTGAACCAATTAGCCTAAAATCAATATAAATAAATAAATAAACAAGTAGACGGTTTGGTTCGGTTTAAGTCGATCTACAAAAGCTCAAAATCAAACTAAATCAAATCATATATCGTCCGATTCAATTTTAAACTGTTTGAATTTTTTTGGGTCAAAACCAAACTAAACCCAGTAATTACGATTTAGATTGACTGGTTTTATCGATTCAGCCGGATTGATGCCCAACCGTAAAAAGAGCTAAGAAGGAACCAAAATAAAATAAAATTGGCGCAAGTGTACTAAAACTCACCACTCTGATTAAAATGGTGACGTTAAAATACTCCCGTCACCCGTGGGTGAGTTAAGTACTCCTCTTAGAACTTTCCCCAACAAGCCTCCTTCCTCAAAGCCCCCTCCTTTCCAAAATAAACTAACTTCCCTTTTCTCCCTTTCTCTCTCTAAAAACTCAAACACCAGAAAGTTGAGCTCAGAGCTGCTTCACACAACAAATGTATCCCTCAACCTCATCCTCCTCATCCCAAAATCCCATGGGCCCAGGCCCAAGTGCAACCGGGCTGACCCGCTACGGCTCTGCCCCTGGCTCCCTCCTAACCTCGGCCGTCGATTCCGTCATCGGCGCTGTCGCAGACCGCGAATTCTCAGCACTCCGATCGCAGCCCCACCTCGGCCACTACTTCTCTGGCGACGGCCACGGCGACGACTCCTCCCTCACCAGCTCTGAGTCAACCTTCAAAGTCAACTCATCCAACGACGGCAGGGACGCAACCAAGCCATTGCTCCGATCGTACGGCCTGAATGAGATGTCTAACGCGATTGGATCTCCTACTTCTTCTTCTTCTTGCTCTTCGCCGTCAGCCCTGGTTCGCCAGAGAAGCTCTCCAGCTGGCTTCCTCAGCCATCTCACCGCTCCTGATAACAATGGTACGCCGCCCTTTCGCTTTTTTTTTCCTCTACTTTTGTTTGTTAAATCACGGTTTTGTCCTTAGTGGGTGGAGTTGTTGTGTGGTTGTGCATAGGGGGTAGTTTTGGAATTTTCACTGGGTCTGTGGGAATGGACGTGGACTGTGAAATGAATTGACTGAAATGGCCGTTGAAGTTCGTTTATATTACGAAAATACCATTCCTTAATCGTTATCCAATATTATAATATTCGTAAATCAACCAATGAAAAAGAAGGATTTTTGGTATATTTATTCACCTGGCCCAACACCAACCCACCAATCACGTGTAAGCGTGGGCTGCTTAGGTGTCTTTTGCTTTACTTTATTTATATCTCTAATTTTAGGTTTTATTTTGTTTTATTTTTTAATTATTATTATTTATTTAAATATTTAAAAAATTATAGTTTTGGGATAGGTCACGTTGAAGGATGATGACGTTTGTGGAATTGTCATGTTTAATTTCTTTATCTGTGGTTGACATGTGATTATTATTATGTTTGGAAAATTTATAATGAAGATGTGGGGAGAAGTGGGTTTGCTTAGATGAACTGTGTATGCATTCTAGTCGCCATCTTATATTGAAGAAATGGTTTTAATCACAAAGTGGTCTGTGAATTTTTAGAAGTTCTCATTTTAGTTCTCAAATTTTCAAATCAATCAAGGTGGTTTTTCATCTTTTGGTCGACACATTCATTCGGTCTCTAGTGTCACATTCCGATACATCTTTTTATTAAAATTGGTCATGTGTCATCAGGTACCAATTTTAAAGGGGTATTTTTGTCAAAATATAGCTCATCCACCTAGGACCAGGGATATTTCAATGAGCTATACTTTTGCAAATTAGCTTTTAATTCTACTTAGTAAATGATTTCTCAAGTTCGAGCTAAGCTTTAATGAACAAGCCGAGCTTGAACCGAACTCGAGCTATCTCGTAAAAAGAATGAGCTGCTCACAAGCATTATGAGCCGATATACCAAAGCTCAAGCTCAGCTCATTCCTTTAACGAGGTCAATATCTTGTTTGATGTCAGCTTGTTTTTTTGACGAACCGGTCTCAAACGAATGTGCTTCATAACCTTTTGAATTCTCCATTAAACTGTATTCATGGTATTCTAGAATCTAACATGTTATAGATTTTACTTTAACAAATGACATGGTTAGCATCTTCATGGTCACGATTATGATCATTAAAATGTGTTTAAAGATCATTATTTCATTTTTGACAATGCGAATAGGAGGATTTTCTGTTACAAGGGGAGCTGGAATCTATAGCTCACAAGGTGGCACTAATGGCGGTCATGGACATGGAGTAACGAGGTTAAAGTCTCAGTTGAGCTTCACTAGGCAAGATTCTCTTTCTCAAATATCTGAAGTAAGTGAAAATGCCATGGAAGGTGTTAGCTCCAACAATGGCCACCATAGTGCCATGCATTCTTATCCCACTACTAGCTTTGGGATGGAATCCTGGGATAATACCAATTCTATTGTCTTTTCGGCTCCACCAAGCAAACGAGCTAAAAATATGGATGGTGACTTATTTAACTGCCTCAATGCTTTAGAATCTCAGGTACTTTAATTTAAGTAATTGTTTTAGGTCCTTTAGATCTGCATCAATTATTAGTCTAATGAACCAACTTGCACTTACCAGTTTTTTTTATAGTAACTCAAAAGTGAAATACGTATCAAACCAAAGAGAGGAAAATGGTAAAATTGAAAGGGCTTACATTATATATGCATCATCAACTCATTAGACAAGGAGGATTACTCACTTTAATTTTAAGTGTTTGGATTATGGAGAGTAGCAATTTTTCTGTTTAATAATTTGATTCGTTGTCCAAACAGTTTAGCCTTCCCCAGACATCTTTAGAAATGGCTACTGTAGAGAAGCTACTGCACATCCCTGAGGATTCTGTTCCTTGCAAAATTCGGGCGAAGCGTGGCTGTGCAACTCATCCCAGAAGCATAGCGGAGAGGGTTAGTAAACTTTGAAGAGATATTATAATTATTCACATCATGCCTAACCACAAGATATTTTACTGATTTTTATTGCTTTGTTGTTTGGGGGCCTTGAGCAGAAAGAAATATGAAATTATTGTTATAAATTCTGCTTTAATACATTTGTTAGTAACAATGCCTAATAAGTGAGAGGTGTCCTATGGGAACTGATGCTCCTAGTTAAGAGAAAAATAACCACTTGCTGGGAATATTAAAGTTTCAGACACAGTGAAGAATGTCAAAGGGCTGAATGTGATGCTTGGTCTTCCACTTAAAATTAACTGTTCAGAGATGGAATAAGAGCCAAGAACCATTTCTCTTTTGTACTTTTGGTAATGTTTTCCCTTAGCCAAGCGCAGTTGAGGTTCTTTACTAGTGTGAGTCAGAATTAGGATAAAGTTAGGACAGCATGGTGTTTATTCGTGTCACAGTATTGACAAAGTGTTGTACCTTTGAGTCATTAGTGATAATGGGATTCATTCAAATAATAGGATATTGGAAAACAGAGTAAGATAATAGATAGAACTGGTTCCTATGAACATTAATTGACTAATTTATTGACAGTTGATGGAATGCCCATGGAACAGTGTGTTTACATGATCCATCTTCAGATCAATTTCTCATCGTATTGATTTAAACTAAAAAACCATGTTAAAGTACTACTAATACAAATTATATGGTACAAATAAGTCATTCTTTTTCCTTGTTTGTTTCCATTGGGAGAGAGGGGAGTGGGGGTTAAATGAGAGGTTGAAAAGAAATTGTAAATGAAGGAAGCAATCAGTATAGACATCTGATAGTTGAAGCCATCCCTATATGCTACTGGGGAACTAGTTCATAAGTTTCAATGTTTTACCCTAAGCCTCAGCTAAAGACTTCGATAGTGACTTTTTTGTCTTGTAGATAAACATGTCATATCTCACAACTTGTAGAGAAATGGCGGCTTGAAATTGTTTGTTTGTATGCAGTTTATGTTTATTTAATATTTCCTGACTTGTATCGTTCGTTTATATGTACAGGAGAGAAGAACTAGAATAAGTGGGAAGCTGAAGAAACTACAAGACCTTGTTCCAAACATGGATAAGGTAATGACCGATGGCTCTTATAAATCTGGATTGGTGAAGGTTACTGGAAACATATTTTTGGTCTTGACATATAATTTCCGTAAATGACATTATTCTGCATTTTCACTTTATTCAAGAGCATTTTTAATTTTGCTTTAACATTTAAATGGACGAGTAACTCTATTATTCAATTTTATTTGGCAAGGAGAGAGCCCATCCATGTTAGCATGTTCTAGCTTGAGTGTTCATATGGACAAAACTGTGCTGAGCATTTACTGAAACTTTATGATGCCCGATTATGAAACATATCTCTTAATACTAATAAAATTTTCTCCCTATATCATTGCAGCAAACAAGCTATGCGGACATGTTGGACTTGGCTGTACAACATATCAAAGGCCTTCAAAATCAAGTCGAGGTTTGTGAACGGTTAATTCAAAAAGTTTGCCAATCCAACAATTCCTACTTGAATATTTTACCCTAATGTTATAAACAATATTATGTCTTCATCAGCATCTCTATATTTTAGAACCTTGATATTGGTCGATCTTAACACTAGGGTCACTCCAAAAAAGTAACGTTTGCTGCAATCATTATTTTCTTTTTCTTTGACAAAGTAACATTGCCTTTGTCAAAAATTGAGTAGAAAAGTTGAACGAAAGACCATTTCTTGTTTAACATTTATTTTAATTTCCCCCCTCTCACAGGATCTTCACAAGGATCTTGATAATTGCACTTGTGGCTGCAAACCAAACACATAATGTTCCCCAAGCTTGTAAGCAATTGCAGAGGTCCTAAGTTAAAGGGGACAAGAAAGGGGCGGCAGCAACCGAAGCCAGACTATTTTTGTTGCATGACCAGCAGGTTAGACTTCATATTTTTGAAGTAGAAAAGTAGATTCAAACATTTGGGACATAAATTGTCCTTTGCATATTTTGTAGTGATTCCAATCTCCACGTGTTTTTGAAGAAAAATTGTATATATTGAAGCAACTGTAGTTTCGTAGCTCATCAGAGAAATTGACTTTGTTTCTTTCACTGAATGAATATTATGTATTTTGCAGTTCATTTTCTCCATGTTTATTTATTTATTTTCAATTTCCTTAAGTTTTGAGTTCTAAATGGGATGCTGATATTTACATTTAATAATGGTTGTTCTATGATTTTTTTTCTTCTTCTAGTATAGTAAGAATATCATTTCCATAACGTGAACAAACACTAGTGTTGTACATTGCTAATTATTTCGAGCGACCTAGGGAAACAGTAGTATAGTAAGACTTAAGAGTTTTTCTTGCCACCAATCCGGGCATGTGTTTATCTCTCGTATTACGTAAAGGTCATGTGGTAAGCATACATTTGTAGTCTACATTCATAACTAATCTTATTTAAATCTCCAATTTCCATCACTTTTGTGTGGCGGGGTATCTATGTGCGGAGTTTTAATTTAGCATCATTTCACATATAAATGAAGTGCAGGTCTGGATTCTCTCTTTGATTTTCTTCTTTTAGGATCTGCATGACTTTTGCCCTCCGTACACCACTTCATTAAAATTTAATCGAAGAGTTGACACATCATTCTTAAAACAAAAACTTAATTCACTTTTAATTAAAAAAGAAAAAAAAAACCCGTACTCTGCTAATCAGAAAGTTAACGTCCTCTAGCAACTGTTCTTTTTGTGAAAATGAGTGCATGATGAGACGACTACACACTTTGGGGATTCGGATTTCGGAACAAAGGAACCTTTCTGAAAAATCCCTGTTTCATGAAGCTAAAAAAGCACCTACACCACTCCCCTTAAAAAAAAAACAACACACTACACATCGACACAATAACACATCAAACAAATCCTATAAGTAAAGTTGGGCATTTGAAATCATAACCCGAGCAAAAAAGCTCCCCTCTCTTCTCTTCTCTTACTCTGGTGCGAAGCCATCGCCACAACCACCTTTGTTCTCGCCAAACCGAAGCAACCTACACCAGTTTCTCGGTGAACTGACCGTCGTTGGTTAGACGCCTCGTCGGCTCAGCGTCAGTCTCCGAAAAGTGCAAAAATGACAAGGCTGGTTTGGCCCTCTCGGCGCAGGTTGGTTTGGCCCTCTCGGCGTGGGTTGGTTTGGTTGCCCAACCTAGTAACCTGCCTAAAAGCATCACATTAATGGTTTTTGTTTTTGTTTTTTTTTTATACAACCACCTTCCCAGCTCGTTGATCAATATAAGTTAAGAGAAGCAATTGTGGCTATGAAACACAACATAACAGTCTAGCATATCAAATACATAATGTCAGTCCGACATAAAATCCAACAATGTAGCATATGAGAAAATACGCAACTTTGAACCATCTCTAGTCTACTTGACTCAGGCGAAAACGAGAAGAGCTATGCTTCTTTCCAAGTTCAAGGCTTAGCCCACTCAAATGAGAAGAGCTATCCTTCTTTCCAAGTTCAAGGCTTAGCCCTCGTCCATGGGATTGGCACCGAAAAAAAAAAACAAAGAAAAAAAAAACCTTATGAAATCACAGTGAAGACTTCAAGTAAAACCGCAGATTGGACCAAGATTGAATCACAAGGTCTTATAAGTATTAGCAAGCCTTACCAATAAAATGGGAAGGAAATTAAAGTAGCCAAAGGTGACAATGTCTTCCAATGACCAACAGGAGAGGGTTATTGCAGCACTCGTTTACCCTTCGTATCGTATGATCAGCTACTTGTAACCTTTCATGGTGATGAGTTTCCTCAATCCTGCTGCCATTTCTGCTAGATGGTGGTCCTACTTCAAAATCATGGCATTACTTAGCTTGTCCTTCTAATCTTGCTCGGAGGGAAACAGGAATTATATGTCGAGCAAGGATCAATGGCCTGTAAAGAAAAGGAGACATTGGAGAATGGAAGCTTTGCATTAGTGCTTACAAAATCTTAGGTCTCACTTATTGTCAGTTGGTTTTGACTTGGATGCTCACATTCAAGCATAGAGAGAGTCAAATTTTCTTACCAATATGTCACATGAAAATTATCTCTCTGTTAACTTGAAGCGACCGCTTCTCAATTTTGGCATCCTCATCTTCTATAAATTGGTGGATGAGATCTTCATCGTCAAAGAACGAGGTCACACAGTGGCAGTGGATTAATGTTTGCTTAAATTCCTCCATATCTTGCTTGTATAATAAACAAAAGCTAGTTTTAGCCCACAAGCCTGGGAGATCACTTTCACTTTGAACATGTAGTTCACATGATGCGTTGAAGAAGGTAGAGAGACTAGCATAACTTCGGGGGATGTAAAGTAGCCAAAGGAATCCTCGACGATACAACCGTGTGAATTTTTCCCTAAAGATGAGACAGGAAGGGGCAGGCGCTAAACAATATCCAGTAGCGCTTCAAATATGACACGTAAGTTTCTGAGGAACTCTTGAATCCATGTTGTTTTGGACAGAAGTTGGATGCTCGGATATTGAAAAATGAGAGCATACAAGAAGTCCCATCCAACTGTTATAATTTTGCAACTTGGGAATATGGAATTCCGAGTCCTGCGATTCGAACCACTCTGGAATTTTGTTTTGTGGGAAGACAGTACAGTACTCAAACTGAGGATTGATATACTATAATGAAGAAATGCAATTTCCTCAAAGACTGAGAGTTACTGATACCCGGAGAGAGAGTGCAAAGAAACATTGAAGCAAACACTCAAGGTTTCTTTTCCACTGGGTAACTGAATCTCCTCTCTTGAGCGCTTGATTTATTGGAGAGTCATCAGCAAATATGCGTAAATGAATTACTTCGCCAACAGTGGATTCTGAAACTGTCGAAATGGCTTCCTGTGAAGCAATTGGACAAAGCTTTCGCAACGATATAATTCTCCTGCGACCATTCAGAGAAAGATCATACATTAATTATTAGGTTGAAAGAATCATTAACAGTCATACAGATGATACTATGGAATTATGAGTTTAACCTTTGCAATGGGAAAGGGCAACCAACAGTGTCAAAGAAGTTGCTTCCCATGGATTTAGCCTTTTCAAGCAAACTTCCCGTCATATGTAAAAATGAGAAAAGCTCATCGCCTTCCAGCACAACCCGTTTCATCATTACGTTGATAGTAGACAGGAGGGCTGTTTATAATGCACTGAGTTATTGTTTGGATTAGCCCTTTCAAATCTTGCTCATACACTAGACGGATCCCACACAGTTCAACCTCCACACCTTCAGTAACGGAGCTAAAAGCAGCAATAATTCCCTCCCATTTATTCATCAATCGTCTTCGAAAATGTCTCTGTTGATATATGAATAACAAAGGTCACTCGTTGCGACCCAAAAAATTTCTCTTCCGGGGGTGCTACATGATGTACCGGACCCATTTTAGAGGTTTCCACATAGGTATGCAAATGACAGCTAAATACAAAATGCTCTGAACCTTCCTTGCTAAGGTAAACAGCGGGTGGAAGAGTAAAAGAAACATACATAGCAAATCCTACCCATTCCTTGTTATTACACAGATTCTGGAGGAACATCCAACTTAACTTGCATCCCAGTACTTTGGTGGCTAAACCCTGGAAAAATTGCTCTGAGGGATAAAATAGAACCATAAGAGCAACTCCAGTGGCAAGCCCAGCCAGAGGCTGGGGGGAGAAAAAAAAAACCCAGTTCCAGTGAGGAGCCCAAGCCCGGGTTGGGAGTGGGACCCACGAAGTTGGGCTGGCCCTCAGGCCAGTTTAGCTCGAGCTCAAGCCCGAGGGCTGGGTTGATGTCATTGCTGACGCCAGGCTGGCGTTAGCCCACTCATTTGATTTTTTTTTCTGTTGCCACATGGCGTCATATGGGCTCTCCGATCGGATTTTTTCCTCCAATCCAACGGCAACAAATTTTTTTTGCAATAAAATACTGAAAAAAATACCCAAAAATTAATGAATTTTTTTTCTATAAATACCATTTTTTTTTTTTTTTTTTTTTTTATCTGAAATTTGAAATTGAAAATTTTATCCGATTATGAGATATGAATAGTATTGACATGTAGGAACCCAAAAATATTATCCAAATTAATTATTGAGGTAAAAAAAGTTGTGAAAAAAATAATAAAATGAATAGTAATTGCCCTTTGCCATGACAACGGTTGTAAACACAAAATACTATTTGCAAGGGCAACTACTATTCATGTGAATAGTGGCTGCCCTAGCTCCCCCATTGCCATGGCTAAGGGCAAATGGGTGGAGTTGCTCTAATCATAGATGCTTGCCTGCCGTCCCTGTAATATATAGATATATATATATATATATATATGGAATTGATTAGTAAATGCATTATACGAGTAATTGAGAGAGAGGGAGATATATATATATATATATATATATATATACCTTAAATATCTGCTCCAATGCTGACTCTACATCTCTTCTTAATTGACCTACAATTTGTTGGCGAGTCCTTACTTAGTTAGGTTTTGGGTTCCTTATTATGTTAGGATTTTGGTTACTTACCCATTTATCTAGTCCTATTATAATTGAGATTTATTTCCTATTGTAATTTATATTTATTTTCTATTGTAATTTGGATTTATTTCCTATTTTATTTAGGGTTAACACATCTTTGTACTTGTATAAATACCTCCATATTGGAGAAGAATAATAATATGAGCGTATCTTAGCATAACTAAATATTTGCCCTACTTTGTTTGACATGGTATAAGAGCCTAGGTTTTCTTGTGACCTGTGTTTGTAGTCTCCTTGGAGTCATTGCTAATCCTTGAGATCCTATGACAAATTGAGAGTCGTTGGCGTTCCTCATTCCTAACCCATCATGGGTCTTCACCTTGCTGTAAATCCCCGTTTCTCCTTTCCTTAATAATCAACATATATTTCTTCTGCCTTAGCCATAGCCGCACCTTTCTGCAATTTTACCCTTGTCTCTATTCTTACCGTGTTTATGTTGAGTCATTACCTTTCTTTTTCTCTACCTATGCCTGCTGCTGCCTTTTTTCTCTTACTTTTCATCTCTCTATGAGCTTGCTTTCTGTTAAAATCAGATTGAGCCCATGTTAGTTTCAGTCTCTTGCGCGAGCCTCTCCTTTAAACGTATACCATATGGGCAACACGCCCCTTGGCCATTGATTGCTTGATCTCTTTCCTCCGTGAGCCTTGTCACTGCTCACCGAGCCATCTCAAACCTCCGCGAGCCTCGTCACCGCTCACCGAGCCTTCTCCTAGTTGGCCTTTGTCTCTCTCTGTCCTGCTGAGCTACACTGCCGCTGTTCCCTTTGCACAACCGCTCTGGTGTTTGCATCATCTCTCAAGCTCTAACGAGCTCTCTTATGTTTTTTCTTTGAAATTTTTTTTGCTAGTCTCTGTCTCTCCTTTTTTAGAGCACCCTTTCTTTGCTACTCTCTTTGCTCTCTTGGGTGTTCTCTTTTCAAATATCTCCAGTCGCATTCCTATGTTTCCGCTGCTATGTGACTCCCGTGATGCCTTATGCTTCTCCTCTTTCTTTTACAAAGGTTTTATATATTATTTTTTTAAAAAATTTATCTCTCTTCTTTGGTGGGTGTTGATTTTTCTTTTGTTTTTGTTTTTTTTTTGTTTTCTTATTCCTATTCTTTGTTTTATGTTTCTTTTCTCACCACATGGTGCTCTATCTCCTGTGCTCTTCTGGCTTTACTCTCTTGTCTTTCCCACATGATGGGTGTTCACTTCCCATTGATCTTTTGTTTTATCTTTTCCACACCATATTTGCGCCTACCTTTATCAATGGGTTAAGTTTTTTCTGTCTACCCATATCTCCATTAAAATAATAATAATAATAATAATAATAATAATAATAATAATAATAATAATTTGCTACCTCTTCTCTTTCACGCCAATAACTTGGTTTTTTTTTCCCTTTATTTTATTGACTTGTTTTGCACCATATGCCTCTTCCTTTTCAACACCTCTTACATTTGTCAACATCGCCTACCCTATCTATACAATATTCATCCTTTTCTCTCTTTGTGTATACACAAGTTATCCACCTTCATTCATTTTTAATCCTTCTTTCTTTTTGGGTTGTTCCAGACTCCTCCCTATCTTTTATTCTTTTTTCTCCAGTTGTCGGCTGCCCATCTACATTCCACCTTCCCCTCTTGCATTTGTTTCTACCATGAGACTGGCATGTTTGAGTCTCTTTTCTATTATTTCAATTGCTCCTATTTACTTTCCTCTCATGCTTATTCGCAGGTCCTCTCTCTCTGTGCACGCCCGTATGGCCCTTTTTCCCATTTGATAATGTGTTTCACTTCCTGCCCAGAAACATCTTTGTTTTCTTGCTCTGTATTTATTTGGATGTTACTTTCTCCAAATCTTGACTCTCATACATCATCGGATTTGAGGGGGAGTGACACTGCTGCTCATCTATTCCGCTGCAATTCAGCTACCTATCTGCCATGGCTGATTCTTCTACATTTGAGCGTCAGTCCGCTTCTGTTTCTTAAGTGCCACTTTTCTTATGGTTCCGACGACCTCTTCTCTTCAGGGGGAGAGAGGGAGTGAAGAGAAGTTGTCTCTGCAATAATGGAAGTATTTGTCATTGTTATTGCTGCTGACTACTATGTCCTTTGCTGGTGCCAGTACCGTTGCTCATACTTGTTAGGTCTCTTGCTGGGGACAAAGTTATTGCTCCTGCCTATTATGACTATTGCTGGGTACAATGTTGATTACTGTTGATGATGCTTGTTATGTCCCTGCCTTGTTGCTCTTGCTAGTGCTAGTGCCTTGTATTGCTGTTGTTGGTACCAGTATTGTTGCTCCTGCCTGTTATGATGCTAGTATTGTTGCTCATGCCTTTGTTGGTATGTCTTCATTGTGGTCACGCCCGTTGACCTTGCCTTTGCACTTGACTTTCTTTGCCTTACCTTACCTTATTTTTTTTCGAGGTTTGGATTTACCTTGCCTTACCCTATTTTTTAGGGTTTGGTTTCTGCCATATCTACTACCATGCTCACAGGGTTTCTGTGTTCTGCCTTATTTGCTGCCGTGCTCACAGGGTTTCTGTGTTTTGCCTTACCTACTACCGTGTTCAAGGGGTTTCTATGTTATGCTATGTGCCCTATTTTTAGGGTTTGACGCTTGTCACTTGTTTCACTCGTGGTTGACGAAAAGACCTTCTCTACAATTGGTGCTTCTCAAGTATGGTGTTTTGTGACTCGCTTGTCAAGTTGGGAATGCGAAATATCTTTGCCCCAACTTGAGGGGGAGTGTTGGCGAGTCCTTACTTAGTTAGGTTTTGGGTTCCTTACTATGTTAGGATTTTGGTTACTTACCCATTTATCTAGTCCTATTATAATTGAGATTTATTTCCTATTGTAATTTATATTTATTTTCTATTGTAATTTGGATTTATTTCCTATTTTATTTAGGGTTAACACATCTTTGTACTTGTATAAATACCTCCATATTGGAGAAGAATAATAATATGAGCGTATCTTAGCATAACTAAATATTTGCCCTACTTTGTTTGACACAATCTTAGGTGAACTTGAATCTGTTGAGATGTGTGGTTGAATTGGTATCAAGAATCTTGCTTCTAAAGTGCATGCATGTTGTGCTACGTGCGTTGGTTCCACATGAGAAGTAGTTTCTTCTTCTACTAGTACTTGACTATACTCATTGGAGTTTTCGTTAACAACACTGTAGGTTAACGGATTCTTCATATGATCTATCATACCAATGCTATCGATCTTTTCCCCGAAAGCTTTGACAAACTCCGTCACATCTTCCTTGTATATGAGATGGGTCGCACACACTTTCACATCCACCCATGGACTATCAATTATAACTGAAGCTTGAATGTAGCAAGCTCGGTTGAAGCATTCTCTATCCACTCTGCTATTAAACCAGTGTCTTGGCGTATAGACCCAAATTCCCAATGACTGAGTTTTAGTGATAGTCGAAGTGAATGGGTAAATGTCATTGACTAGAGATAGACCTTCAATAGGACCTTCATTGGTGTAGATATCAAATAATAATCCGCCATTGGGTTTTGAATAGTAGCTTACTAAGCTACTATGACATGTTGAATCCAGATTAATATTGTCATGTTCCTGGATTACACATGTTGATGCGAAAAAGTGGTTCGGTACTTAGTGATGTTTGGGCCTTCGGAGTGCTTAGGCTTCAGTAGGATGTGATCCTGCAAAATAAATGTCTGCTCGGTAAGACCTAAGGCACCGATGTGGTACCGGCCAAAGGCTCTCCGATACTTAAGTGAGTACGAATTTAGTAAGAGATTTGAACATATGTAAAGGCAGTATGCCGAAAGTTCAAATTACCTCTATTTGGGGGAATTGTGTTCCTTTTATAGACCTTGGGAGGTGTGCAAGTTTTGTGGAATTTCGATGTGGGACTGTAGACAATCATTATGGAGGCTCCACGTGTCTAGTGGGCGATTTTGTGCTTTTTCATTGCGATCGGTAGGTTGGGTACCGAGGGCTTCCCTGCCAATGCCATATTTTGTCCACGCGTCTTGTTCTTATTGGCCACTGATTTTGGTATCAATAGGAGTCCCCCAAGTTTCTGTTGGAGAAAGGGTTCTCAACAAAGACTTGCTTCTGTCCTCGGCCACCGTTCAGTACGTTGGCAATACCGAGGAGATGGGCCTTTCCTTGGGGGCGCACCTTTCCTGTTCGAGGCTCTCAGGTATTCCAAGGGTTAAATATTCATGCGGTGCTGTTCGGTAATGATGCAATTCCCGAACGGTGGTGCATGGTTGGTTCATCCATGCTTCTGAGAGATCGATCGTCCCTTGAGCCTCAGACGGGGAGCGGAGTCGTTTTCAAGCAAGACAAAAACGATGCTTCGTCTTCTGTGCCTGACGCTTCGTCTTCCGTGCTGCCTGCTCTTACCCACGATTGATGCCATGTGTCAGGCGATGCCTATGACGCAGAACAATGATGGCACCAGTTGGGATTTTGAGGCATACCGTTCGACTTCTTCTCCTATAAATAGGAGTGACTTCGGATGAGGGAATCACTTGTGTTGTGAGAGTGACTTTGAGAGCTTCTTCTAAAGGCGATTTCCGGCGAATTTCTTTCGGCAATCAAGGCGATTCCCGATGTGTGTCTTGCGGCAGAGCAATTTTCGGCGACTTTCGACATAGCACAAACAAGGTATTCCCAACTTTTCACATATTTTTCCAATTAAAAAGTGTCCTTATGGCTTGATCTAGACTATGAACATACATGAACATGAGGAGCGTTCAGTAGTCTAGCTACCGTAGGTAGTGACGGCCATAGGAACCCTTAGTTTAATCTTTATGCATGGCATTTAGTTTCCCTTTGTTGTTTGTAGATGTCCGATAGCGAGTCTAAGTATGATTCTGAACCTATTGTGTTGGACGGCGAGTGATAGTGGTTCTTCAGTTTAACCCTAGAGTGCCGTTAAGCCACCCCAAGAAACACTTGTTTGGTGTAGATTATTTAGGTCCGAATCGGGTTACCGAAGCTGAGTTGGCTTAATATTGGGTGGATTATCTCATCCCGGATTTAGTCAAATAGAATCTCGAGGCCTACCGAGTCTCTAAGCAACCTAAAGGACAACAATGTTATCTTTTTAAAGGACATTCTGAAGCAAGGCGGGGGTCTGCCTCTTCAGCCTGTTGTTCAGCGGATCCTTGCCCATCTGGGCTATGCCCCCGGCCAATACAACCCCAATTTCTGGGTAGCCCTGATGGGAGTTGTAATTGCCTTCGGCCTTGTCGAAGAGGGTGAGCCTTCGTATGAGCAGTTCTCATACTTATACAGTGTCACCAAGTCTAAGAGTGCGGACCATGGGGGTTGGGTCTAGGCGAACTGCATGCGAGCTTCCAAGCGGGGTCACTTTGTAAGTGTAGTGCCTTCCTCGCATAAGTCATGGAGGAATCAAAGGGTACTTCTGTCTGGTGACTGGGAGTCACCTTCGGATAGGCCCGTTCGGTTCCTTATTCCTACCGTATTCCAGATTGCCGGTAGGATTATAAGTAGATGTTCAGCACTTCTTTGCATATGACTTTCCGATCTTCTGACGTATACTGTTTTTGCAGGTAAAATGAAGCAGCCTACTCCCATCAGGGCGAACACACAGAAGGTGGAGAGAGTGAGGAGCAAGGTGTCGGTTGCCGATCGCTTCTACCCGGACTTCCTCTTCACAACCAATTTGATAAAAGCACGCCTAATTGATTTGGCAGAGAGTAAGTTAGCATCTCATTACCGCTCGGTATGGGCCATTTGCCTATTGTTGATGCTCTTTTTGGGAGGTCAACTTAGAGAGAGGTGGATAGTCTTCAGCAGGGGAGAAGGTGAGGACCTTCGGTAAGGGAAGAGACTGCAGAAAACAAAGTGGGAGAAGCAGTCGTTAAGCTTCGGACACCGGTGTGGTGCCGGCCGAAGGCTCTCCGATGCTTAAGTCAACTATGAGTGGTAAAATTGGCAGAGTAACAGTAAGAGTGATAAAGAAGTTACCATTTTTACTTGGGTACTGTTCCCTATTTATAGGGAAGTGAAAGTGGGTGGTTTGCACAAAGTTTCGATGTGGGACTTTGTGCAAGTCGTTGTGGTGGTGACACATGTCTTGGAGATTAGGTTCGGCAGTTGGGAGCTTCAGCAGTCAGGAGCTTCGGCAGGTGTCTAGCACTTTGGAAGAGTGTTTTCCTTTGGCAATGGAGAAGACGTGTCTGCCTTGGTGCTAGTCATTTTGAGGCTGGATATGCTCGGTTGATTATGGTGTAAACAGTAGTTCCCTCAGTTCGCGGTCGAGAAGTAACTTCTGGGTTGGGAACTTGTTATTTTTCTGTGTAATCGTGACCGAGCATTCCAACTTCAGCGGGAGCCGTAGGGCATTCCCTAGTCCCCCAAGTTGGCAGGCTAGAAGTTACGTCACCACTTGGAAGGTATGGTGAAAGCTGTGTTAGCCTCTGGGATTGTTGGTAGCTGGGTACCTTTGAAAGAAAAGTAGACTTGGGCCTTGAAGCTTTGGCAAGAAAATTTGTGGGCCTTAGTGCTTATGACCCGGGTCCTGCCGTTTAGTAACCAAGTGATGGTTTTAGGAAGTAGGGACTTGGATCCAAAAAAATTCGGCAGTATGGGCCCTGCTGTTTGGCAGGGTTGGTGTGGGAAAAAAGTTGTGAGCTTCTTTCCTTCTCCTACATAGTGCTTGCCGTTCGGCAGCCTCATTTATTTATTTTTTTTGAACCCATGGTAGTCTCGGCATGGCCCTTGCCGTTTGGCATGGGATCAAGATGGGCTTGGGCCACAGATAGAGCTTCGGCAAAGGCTTGGGAAGAATTTCTAGGGTTGAGCTTTCGAGCCTTCAGCAAAGAGGAAGGCCTGGTGCAACTTTATGGGCCTCCTAGCCTGTGTATGGAGCTAGGCCGCAAGAACTAGTTTTGGGGTTGAGGGCTTTAAGGCAACATGAGGTTGCGAGTCCCCTTTTCTTCTGCCCCGCCCTTGCTGTTCGGTAGGGGTGGGTTTGTTGTTGTTTTTGTGCCTCATGTGTCTTCTTGAAGTGGGCTTGGGCTGCGGCAAGGGGTCTTTGGTAAACACAATGTTTGGCCCTAGGGTTCTGCGGAGAGAGGGGTCCCTTTAAATCATACCCCTGCCGATCGGCAGGGTTTGGTTGAGAACATAAATGACAGTTTGTTTCTTGTGGGGGGTTAGGTCTTCAGCAAGTGGACATTTAGACCGAGGAAGTGTGGTCGTGCTCCTTTATGCATGACCATTGCCGTTCGGCAAGGTTGGGTGATCTGTGAATTGGGTTTTAGCCTTGGGGAAGGGACTAGAGTGTAGAATAGTTTCGGTAGGGTCAGCTCAGGATTTTGAGGGAGCATAGTTTTCATACCGCAAGGCTCTTGCCATTTGGCAAGGGTGCTCGGTCGGCGCGAAGCTGAACCTGTAGGTGGGCTTGTAGTTTCGGTTCATAGGCTTTTCACCTTCCTCTCGAGCCCCCATTCTATTGCTCAGCCCTTGCCGTTAGGCAAGGGTGGCTTGAGAAAGATTTGAAAAGTGCTGGGGTTTTCATTTTGTTTGGCAAGAAGCTCCAAGTGGTCACGGTTTTGGAGTTGGGCCTCCTTGGAGTGAGCTTGCTTAGGCAAGGAAGAAATAAGGAGGTTTGATTTTTCGTTAGCTTTCCCCCAATTTTTCAACGGGCCTTGCCGTTCAGCAAAGTGGACTGGTGATCAACCTTCGGTAGGTGTGAGTAGGAGGAAGTTAGGGCTGGGCTTCTGCGGGCTTAGTGTGCCTGGGCCTAGGCCTGCTTTAGAGCTGGGCCTCACGAGTTGGCAAGGTCTTGAGCTGGGTTTGGCAAGATCCACTCGGTAAGAGGCTGCTCCCACACTTTCGGCAAGGAGACCTGGAGCCGTGAGCATCTTTCGGCAGGTTCAAGTAGTCGAGGTTATCATCTTTCGAAGCCTGGGGTGAGCTTAGCTTCACCTTGGACAATGGTGAATTGTGAGACCTCCCCATTTTGCTTCCACGGGCCTTGCCGTTCGACAAGGCCTTTTCAAAATATTTTCTTCTCTTTTCCGTTTTTTTTTGTTTTTGTTTTTTGTTAACTTGAAATTTGAATTTTGAAATTCAAATTGTTGAGTAGGTACAAGGAATTTGGGAGGGAAGGTGAAAGGGTGCCTAGGGTTTTCCCGGGAATTGAGGCGTTGATACCCATGAGGCTTATAAATGGGAACTTGGGGTGTCGAAGGCATCACACTTGAGTCTTTGAGAAAAATTTCTAGAAAGTGAGAAGGAGAAAAGGAGATTTCCGGCAAGATTTTGGTGGTGGTGCTTGTGGCCAAAGTGATTTCCGGCGTCTCATTCGTGGTGGTGCAAACAAGGTTAGACCTCATTTCTTTTGAACTTTTGAATTGAAATGTCCTTTTTTGCATGAACATGTTGAATACTAGGATGAACACCTTGAATATGAGTATGAACATGATGAACACTTTGAACATTGGTATGAACTTGTTGAATGTATGCTTCTAGATCAAAGAGCATGTAGGGGTGCTATCATTTTTGTGTTCTTGTATTTTCGATCCTTCTTGCATGTGCATTAGTTCCCTTTCCTTGTTTTTGCAAATTGTAGATGTCTGAAAGTTCTGATAGAGAAAGTCATGACCCCCTTGCCTTTGGTGGGGAAGATACTGAAAGTGAAGAGCCTAGCCAATATGTTTAAGCTGAAGATGAAAGTTCCCAGACAGAGGGTGTGGTAGAAGGTATGATAGAAAGTAGGATGGTAGTGCATGAGGGTGAGAGAGGGGAGCCATTAGTAGATTCCCGGGAGGCCGAGTACAGAGAGATGCATAGGAATTACAGAGTGTTAGAGGCTGTGGCTGATTGGGTTCTAGCCTTGCCTCATACACCAGAGGTGGGCTCGAACAATTAGGCATCACCGTCAGGGTCTGTGGGTGTAGCCGTGGCTTCAGCTTCAGAGGAGCTGGATATACGGGTTGGTGTCCCTTTGTCAATGCGTAATATACTTACAGAGGTAAAGCTGGTAGAGCTTTGGACAAATTTTAGTGTCCCACCTTCGGTGGGCTTGAGGTTACCCAGTGCTGCTGATGTGGTTAGATATCTTCCGGAGGGATGCGTGTTGATATTTACCGATATGTACCAGCATGGGTTCAGACTACCATTTCATCCTTGGGTACAAATGATGTTGGCCAAGCTGGGATATGCTTCGGGGCAATATAATCCCAACTTTTGGATTCTTCTTCATGGGGTTTACATTGCTTAGTGGTTGGCTGGTTGAGGGAGCTGACGTTTGAGCAGTTTATGTATCTATACTCGATCTGCAAGCAACAGGGAAGTTTTGGCTAGGTATAGGCCAATTATTGAAAGGTAAAGGAGAGGGGTTACTTTATTGGTCACAAGCCTTCTACTCAGAAGTCTTGGAGGAACAGGTGGTGCTTGGCTTATGGTGACTTGGAGTGTCATCCAGGGAAGACCGTCTCCAAACACATTCCTACCCACTTCCAGTCTATAGGTCCTTGGCCCAATCCTTTAAGACTGATTATTGTTTTGTAGTGTTTTTACATGCTTTGACTCTTGGTTCTCCATTTTCGCTTGTGCAAGTGTAAATGGTTAAGTAGTATCTAACCTTTGGTGCAGGTTCGGTGAAGTGGGGGCCGATCTCCAAGGAGCAAGAAGACGAAGTTAAGAGGGTGAGGTCATTGCTGTCAGAGACCGAGCGTGAGTGTAAAAACCTAGTCACTCAGAAGAATCTACTTGAGTCCAGCCTTTTGCAAGGAAGTAAGTACTTGGGTCACCTTTATTGTTTGTCTTCCGATTCCTTTTGTAGTTGTGACTAACTTAGCTTTTGATGTGCAGTGGCAGATATTATTAAAGGAAGCACGAAGGTGGCTGTGGATCTTGATGAGGTCGAGATTCAGAAGCGACTTAGGAAGTCTCGGGCCAAGAGGGCGGAGAAGGGGGGTGCCAAGCAAGTGACTGGGAAGCGCCCTAGAGATGATGATGAAGGACTGGTTGCCGACGTGCTAGGGAAGAAGAAGGCGCAATTGGAAGCTCACCGGAGTGTGATGAGGACAGAGCCGAGGCTTCCTCCCTTTGACCTGCAGGCGCCGCCGAAGCTTCCCTTTGGTATAGAGGATACTTTTGTTGAGGGGGTGGAGAAGGTGGACTTCTCCGTGCTGCGTCAACAGAAGAAGGAGGTGAATCTTGCCATGCATCGGCAGGAGGTTCCCTTGGTGAACGTTTTCCTGGAAGGCGTGAAGAGTGACCCCCGAGGTTCTGGAAGGAGAAGGCTATCGAGGTCCTGGCCATTATTCAGCCAAGCTGCCGATCGGCAGGGGCTAATTGAATTTTTTTGGAGCCTGCAGTGGCTTCAGCAAGAGGAGTTTCGGAGGTCCTTTAGTAGCTCGATAAGAAGTCGATAATGGGCTTACAGTTTCGAAAAGCTTGGTAAGGAGTTGATAGTCCCACATCGGAAAACTACAAAAGATGGAGACTCCCCCTCACCTATAAAAGAAGACTATTCTCCCCTGAGAAAGGGACTCTCTTCTGGATCCCATGACTGGGCTGGGCTTTTCTCTTGTTACCTTTATATTTGGGTCCAACCCCTTGTACAAATGTAAACACATAATATCATAATGAGAACATTCTTCTTCGTGGACGTAGCCCATTCATTAAGGGTGAACCATGGACATCTCGTCTTCTGTATATTTATCGCTTGCCCAAATATTCACACACATACTGAAGGTCATCACCTTCACCCATCATCCACCATTCCACATCTATCTAAGTTGACCCACCCAAAAAAGGCATCAACACCTGTAATATTTTTACTAACAGTGCGTGCATCCTTTTGCAGTGACTCCTACTAAGCAACAATCGGAGGCATCAAGGAGGCATCTCCTGTTAGGGGCAAAGGCGAAGAAGCAACGGCAACACCCACAGCAGCCTCCGCAGCAGCAAGGTCCTTCGGCCCCACAAGCCGTGGCCGAAAAGCCCTCGAAAGTTGAGCTAGAGAATCAGACCTTGTCCGAGAGGCTTCGACAGCTCAACGGTTGGGATCGTCACACTAAAAGGCTTGCTGCCAAAGAGGGCTAGGGTGCAAGCGCCCTTCAGTGATTGAGCTTGACGGTCCTTCTAGGCCGAAGAGGGCTAGGGTGCAAGAGCGGGACATCATCACTTGCCCTTCAAAGACAATCCAGTTTGCGAACCATATGATTATCGGTTCGCAAATGGAGCTGTCCGAGGTGGACGAGCTGCCAAAGAAGGGCCTTCGGGAGGAGGCTAGTCGTGCTTTTCGTTTGCAAGCTGCGGTAAGTTTCGTTGCTTTGTTGTTTGCGGCCTCGGTGACTGCGGCGAGGGAGCCGAGGTAGCCAAGGAGGCTGTGGCGGTGGCTTTAGAGGAGGCCGAATGGTCTCGGGTGGCCGAGATTCAAATCGCCTTTCGGGAGGAGGAGGTGAGCGTGGAGATGATGGATTTGATCTACCATTTCAAGCACTTCAACCTAAGTACCAAGCTGAACCTCAACTTTGCTGCTGATCCCTCACCCCTACCAGAAGGGATTACAGAGGGAGATGATCGAGGATTATGAGGGTGAAGACTCTCTTTCTGATTTGGGCCCTTTTGCCAAGGCCAAGGCTAGGGTCAATCCCGAAGTCGTGTTTGAGGCTGTTCTCAGTACCGGAGAGCCCGCAGTGTAGCCTGTGTTATGTATTTTGTTTGTTTGTTGTTTTTTTTTGAATCTGTACCTGCCATAAGGCAGTTTGTTCCGAACACCTTTATACCGAGGGCATCTTTTTATTTTTATGTTAACTGTTCTCAATATTTTGGCTATATGCTTTTTATTGTTTCCGCACTCTTTTATTGTTGCCGAAGGCTAACGAGTTTTAGTTAACAAGCATTTGCCGATTGTTTTGACTGCTGCCAATGGCTAATGCGTTTAGGGGTAGAAAATCTTTTCAATCAAAAATTGCGAGTGTAGATAGAATTGGTAGGATTAAGGCTCAAACCCTTTTGTTGCCAAGGGCTAAATAAAAAGTCGATTGCCAAGTGAACCTTTAATCGGTAAGTGCTTTCAATTGGTAACAAGCATCCCGATCGTCTCTCCATCTACCGAAGGTTAGATGAATGCTATGGAAATAACAATTTTTCACAAGTATGGTGACCATCGGCAACCTCACTTGTGATGGTCCCTACCACATTTTTTGGTTATTGAAGGCATTATAAATACATTAACCGACCATTTTAATGAATAATAGAGCCGTAGGCTTTGCATTAAATGCTGCCGAAGGCAATAGTACATGTAGATCTCTGGTTTACAATTTCAATTTGCCGTAGGCTAAGGTAAACTACTTGAAATAATACTTCAAATGTTCAACGTTCCATGGATGACCGAGGGTCTTTCCATTGGCCTCTCTTAGCCGATAGTTTCCCGATCAGAGGATACCGATGATCTCATAGGGTTCTTACCAGGTAGGTCCGAGGGTTCCTTCCGTGGGATTTTTCGATGCCAAAGAGACCTTTCTCATGAGCCAGTTCTCGATCCGGAAGCAACGGGGTCTGATCCTTGAATCATAGTACCGAGAGACACGCTGCTTGTAAGCTTCATTTCGAAGGTTGGCTTGTACTCGGCGCTCTTCAATCAAGTCAAGGTTTAATGCAAGGGCCTCCTCGTTCACCTTAGGTTCAAAGATTTCCGTTCGGTAAGAGGGTTCGCTGATCTCGACGGGTTCAACGACTTCCGAACCAAAGGCGAAGGAAAAAGGGGTTTCCCTAGTTGACGTTCGGAAGGATGTCCGCCTAGCCCATAATGCTTCAGGAAGCTTCTCTGACCAAGATCCCTTGGCATTGTCAAGCTACCGTTTTAGTAGTTTCTTGATGATCTTATTTATCGTTTCTACTTGGCCATTTAATTGGGGGTGAGCTGGCGAAGCGAAAAATAGATTGATTTTGAGGCGAGTATAGAACTGCTTGAAGAGTTCTGAATCAAACTGCCTGCCATTATCAGTGATAATAGCGTAGGGAATACCAAATTGGCAGTAAATGTGAGTCCAGACAAAATCTTCTATCTTGACTGCTGTAATAGTTGCTAGAGCTTCAGCTTCAACCCATTTGGTGAAGTAATCTACGACAACAACAGCATACTGGACCTGGCCTTTCCCTTGTGGTATTGGACCAATTAAGTCAAGTCCCCATTGGGCGAACATCCATGGGCTTATGATCGGCGTCAATAGTTTGGCAGGGATATGGGGTATGTTGCCGAATCGTTGGCATTTGTCACACTTCCTCACCAGTTTATGTGCTTCCTGATGCATGGTTAGCCAATAGTATCCTTGTCGGAAGGCTTTGTGTGCCAACGATCGGGAACCGGCATGATTGCCACATATCCCATCGTGGATTTCCCGAAGGATGTAGTTCCCCCTATTTGGCAGTGATGCATTTCAGATATGGAGTGGTCTAGTTGCGTTTGTAAAGGACATCATTGATGACTGCATATCTTGCCGATCGGTAACGTAGCTTCCATGCCTGGGACTTGTTGTTAGGTAGCATACCGTTCGATAGGTAAGCATACTTTAGAAGTTACTATGCTTGGCTAGGACAGGATCTCCACCGGCACCCTTCTGTAGACCTTGCCATTGATGGCTGAGGCTAACCTGGCCAGGGCATCAGCGTGACTGTTTTCTGCCGAATCTCGTAAGCCTGGAATTTTTGAAGGAGTTGGTGTATGGTCGACAGATAGGTTGACATCGAAGCGTCTTTAGCTGCAAAGTCTGCCGTTATCTGATTCACGATAAGTTGGGAGTCACTGTAAATGCTGATCTGTCTTGCGCCCATGCTTTTGGCTAGCCGAAGGCTGGCCAAAAGTGCTTCATATTCTGCTTCGTTGTTGGAGGTTCTGAAGTTGAATCGGAGGGCGTATTCAACCTTGACTTTATCTGGCGTAGTCAACACTAAACCAGCTGCATACCATCAACATGCAGAATCTATACTGGCATTGAAGGATCGAAGTATTTGGCACTCGGCTCGCCAAGGTTTTCGGCATCAGCACATGAATTTGCAGGCTCAGGTGTTACCGAAGGTGTAAGTTCAGAGATGAAGTCGGCGATGGCCTAACCTTTCTCCGCTAGTCTTGGCTTGAATTGTATGTCAAACTCTCCAAGCTCAATTGCCCACTTGACCAATCGGCCGAATTTTTTCTGTTTCTGGAGTACCTGCCGAAGCGGTTGGTTGGTTAAGACTGTGATTTCGTGCGCTTGGAAGTACGGACGGAGTCTTCGGGCTAAGACAACGAGAGCTAGGGCCAGCTGTTCTAGGGAAGGGTACCGAAGCTCTGCACTTTGCAGTGCTTTGCTGACATAAAAGATCAATAGCTCCGCCTTCTCTGGTTTGCGTATTAATATTGTGCTAACGGCAATGCTGGATACCGAAAGGTAAAGAAACAAAACCTCCCCTGGGAGGGGTTTTGACAACAAAGGTGTTTTGCTCATGTAGTTCTTTAAGTCTTGAAATGCCTTATCGTATTCAGCAGTCCATGTGACATGGTGTTTGCCCCCTTTCAAGGCTTTAAAGAATGGTACGCATTTATCGGTGGCTTTAGAAATGGAGTTGGTTAAGGCAGCGACACGCCCGGTGAGGCTCTGGATGTCTTTAGGTGTCTTCGACCTCTCCATGTCAATTATGGCCTTGATTTTCCCAGGGTTTGCCTCGATCCCTCTCTGGCTGATCATGAAGCCGAGGAACTTACCGGAAGAAACACCGAAGGCGCACTTGGTTGGGTTAGGTCTCATTCGGTAATCTTTTAGTATGCCGAACGTGAGGGACAAGTTGTGCAAATGTTCTTTTGCTGTCCTACTCTTTACCAACATGTCGTCGACGTATACCTCCATTATGCTGCCGATATGTTTGGCGAAGATTTTGTTGACGAGCCTCTAATATGTTGCCCCTGCAATTTTTCAAGCCGAACGGCATGACATAGTAGCAATACAATCCTCTGCCTGTGATAAATGCAGTATGTTCGCTGTCGGCAAGGTTCATGAATATCTGATTGTACCCCGAATATGCATCCATGAAGCTGAGAAGCTCATGACCGGCAGTGGCGTCTACGAGCTGATCGATTCGAGGTAACGGAAAGCTATCTTTTGGGCATGCTTTGTTCAGATCGGTATAGTCTTGGCACATTTGCCACCCACCTTTCGCTTTCCGAACCATGACAGAGTTTGCTAACCATACGGGGGTATGTAGCCTATCTGATAAAGTTGATGGCTTGGAGCTTGTCAACTTCTGTTCTCATGGCCTCATACCATTCGTCGTCATACGAATGACGCTTTTGAAGCACAGGTTTGTAAGCAGGGGAGATGCTGAGCTTGTGGCTGATGATCTCGAGGGAAATGCTTGGCATATCGTCATAAGACCTGGCGAACACTTCCGAGTAATGCTGTAGGAACTCAATAAATTTTGTTCGGAGGGATGGGGCGAGTGTGGTGCCGATTTTGACACACCGATCGGGCTGCCCTTCGTTTAACGCTACTGTTTCCAACTCTTCGGCGGGTTGTGCCTGAGGAGTTGGCGTTCTTCTCTTGGGTCGTCGATTGGCCCCATACCGTTCGGCGCCACTAACACTGACATGGTCTCGCTTAGCAGTTTTGATGCTGCCGATTTGAGTGTTGTGGCGTAACAAGTTTGCGCGCTGAGCTGGTCCCTTTGGACTACTCCCTTGCCAAAGCTAGTAGGGAATTTCATCAGCAGAATGTGCAGAGACAAGTGCACATTGATTCCAGTGAGTGTCGTTCACCCAATTATGATGTTGTATGCCGTTGGGCAGTCGACAATGAGGAATTGGTCATAAATCATCGTCTTTCGTGGGGAGATGCCCAAGGCGACAGGCAAACTAACGCTTGTCGACGGGTTGAACCAAGTCCCAGAGAAGTTGAGTAGGGGCGTCGGCATCATCTATTCCTAATTCTCGGAATGCGTTGGCAAAAATTACGTTTACCGAACTTCCTGTATCGATCAGCACCCGTCTGACGTCGAAGTCGGCGATTTCTGCTCGAATGGTCATTGGGTCGTCATGGGGATAGAGGATCCCTTCTTCTTCTTCCTCGCTGAACGTGATAGGTTCCCACCTAACCCTTGGTGTTTTATGATGCCGGTTGACCTCTATGCCGAAGACCTGAGGGTATTGCGCGGCTCGAACGTACTGCTTCCTTGACCGGTTGGATATACCTTCAAGAGTAGGACCTCCACTGATGGTGCTGATCATATTAATCTGCTGATTTACATTCGGAGCTGGGGCTTGTGGTGGTCTGGCAATGTACTGGTCCAATTTTCCCTCCCGAATCAAACGCTCGATGATTTTCCTCATGCTTATGAACTCTTTGGTATTATGGTTGTTATGCTGATGGTATCAACAGAACTTTCCAGTATCCCGATTGTCCTGCCGATTGGGTTTCTGGTTAACCGGTTTGGGTATTATCTCTTGCTCATTCATTAGAACGGCTTCGTAGGTAGTATTCAGCAAGGTGAAAACTTCCTGACTGCGGTCATGATTCGGTAAGGGCGGTCAGTGGTCGTTGCGACCGTACCTCCCCTTTCCCTTCTTCGGGTGTCCTTGCCGAGCGTAAGAATTATCTTTCCTTTTTTGGATTGCAGGGTACCTATCAGTCCTTTCAATCGGGGCGTAGGGTTGCCCCTGTGTCGAATAATTCTGTAATGCCAGTTCCTCATGTCAATCCGAAGGCCTGAATTTTGAGTTGAAGTATTCGGCATTTGCATGGATTGCTGCTTGCTTCATCAATTCGTCGTAGGTGAGCTAGTTGCTACTGTGCACCAGGTACCGAAAGTGTGAGGACCGAAGGCCACTCTTGAAGGCACCGTAGGCTGCCCTATCATCTATTTCTGGACACCTTGAGTACTCATGACTGAAGTGCGCAACGTATTCCCTTAAAGGCTCGTCTTCCCTATGCCGAATGGTGTACAAATCATCAGCAGAATATAGACTGACTGTCTGGATCATGAAGTGATTGAGAAAAATCTGTTTCAACTCGTCGAATGAGTCTACTGTCTCTGGTTCCAATCGGTAGAACCAATTTAAGGTTGCTTCGGTAAGCGCAGATGGGAACAGTAGGCATTGCCCCTCGTCGTTGAGACCTTTACATCCCACGACAGACTGGAAAGAGTGAAGATGCATCAAAGGGTCTTCTACCCCGGTGTAGAACGATATGCGAAGAGGCTGCACATCCCTGTCCTGCCTGGAATGCCTGATGTGTTCGGTGAATGGTCCTGGTCGAAGCTTTCCCCAATCGGGCTCCTGAGAGCGGGTTCAGTCATTTTCCATATTCTGAACTTTCTGAAAGAGAAGTCAGATGACGGGATCTCGGCTAGGAATCTCTTCGGAACCATAGTCCTTCGAATGTCTCGGTGGACTCAATAGCTTGGCCTCAGAGTATCGTGTAGGCGTTGCCGAACGGTAGGTTGACCCTTGGGTCTTGGAAGGCACGTACTCATGGTCTGACTCTGCCGTAGATTCTAGTCATCGTACCTTCCGAATGGGTGATTTGTTCCCGAGAACCCTCATCCGTGAGTCCCTTAGATGCGCATTGATCTTGATCGGAGATCTCTGTCTTTCGACTTCCTTGTCGTTAAGCCGATGACGACAATCGATGTAGACCTTCTTCGGTAGATGGGGTTGGTCTTTGGGAGCCGGGACTACCAGCTGTTTGGAGGGCGCAGACATTGCCCTTGCCCCCTTCTTACTTTTCTTCTGCCAACTCGGAGTCTGCAAGCTTTTAGAGGATTGAGTGGGTTGGATGTTTTGCGTATGCTGCTGATTGAGCAGTTGCTGGGTTTCGTCCACTTTGGACGAGAGTAGGTTGTTATGTTCTTGTAGTTTAGCCATATCCTGCCGTAGAGAAGTGATTTGGGCCAGAAGTTCGGCTTCGGCTGTTGTTTGCATTATGGGCGAATTGCCGAAGGGGGTGCAAGGGGGTAGCGCTGGGCTAGCTCCACTATGCCTTCCGTATGGCAATCCTTCCTCAGGCAGGAATACAGGCACAAAAGTGGTCCCCATGTGTTTTTAGGGATAATGGGTTGACTCAAGTCGTTTCCCACAGACGGCGCCAAATTGTTGATGCGAAGAAGTGGTTTGGTACTTTTGGGCTCAACTTAGTGATGTCTGGGCCTTCGGAGTGCTTAGGCTTCGGTAGGGCGTGATCCTGCAAAATAAGGGTCCGCTCGGTAAGACCTAAGGCACCAGTGTGGTATCGGCCAAAGGCTCTCTGATGCTTAAGTGAGTACGGATTTAGTAAGAGATTTGAACATATGTAAAGGAAGTATGCCGAAAGTTTAGATTACCTCCATTTTGGGGAATTGTGTTCCTTTTATAGACCTTGGGGGTGTGCAAGTTTTGTAGAATTTCAATGTGGGACTGTAGACAATCATTATGGAGGCTCCATGTGTCTAGTGGGCGATTTTGTGCTTTTTCATTGCGTTCGGTAGCTTGGGTGCCGAGGGCTTCCCTGCTGATGCCATATTTTGTCCACGCGTCTTTTTCTTATTGGCCGCTGATTTTGGTATCAACAACACAAACAAAAAGTCCCATCCATTTAATGTTATCATCTGAAGCTGCAGGTAACGGGATGCTTATAGATGACCCAGTAGTACTCGAATGACTCAACCATGTCGGAATTTCAGTTTGACTTGTATTACGCTGAGAATGGCGACCATCAGAAATTACACCCTGTAAATAGAAATTAAAAGAGGAAAATAATCAAAAATTGAAAGATGGTTCAAATGTGTGTGTGTGTGTGTGAGAGAGAGAGAGAGAGAGAGAGAGAGAGACCTCAAACCACTTTTGCATGTGTTGATGTACATGTTCATTCGATAAGGGAATCCTCCGAAGTTTTTGTATTTCACCTCTTTGGTAATCTATGATAGTAAATCCTGTAGATGGTGAATCCACACTGTTGACTCATCATTTGGGAAAAATCTTCTCAGGAGAGGGCAGTCAAGAACTGATACTTCTGGTAAACTTAATGGAAGTTTTGGCAATGATAGGAGCTTGCTACAATTATCCAATTTAAGTTCTTTAAGCTCAGTAAGTTGACAGATGCTTTCTGGAATCCTCATAAAATTATTTCCACTCAAGTTTAAACTCTTAAGTGAGGATAAGCAGCCAATGTCATCAGGTAGTGCTCCTTCAGAAAGATTGCAATAGCTCAGATCTAGTTTCCTCAAATAGCATAAGCCTGAGAATGAAGCAGGAAGCTGCAAACTGATGGACTTCTGATGGCAACAAGCAACAACTAAAGAGCCAACCCCAAGGATTATGTGGTAGACCTCCAAAAATCTAATATATTATCAGGTGAGGTGCATGATATAACGTATACTACACTTGAACTTTTGCATCCTGATGTTAATATTCTAACAAAAAAACAGAATATCAAATAAATTTAGGAATAACGAGTTCGTCGCAACATGTTAATATCAAGTAGAAGCTAATTACAAATACATATAAAGAAATATCGTAAATCATCAATAGTTCATGTATTGATCTGAAAATAGGGCAACAGCTTGGGGGTGATCTATAGTTGACTCTAAAAACCAGTATTTACTCACTCGTCTAGTGAACATGAACCATGTCAAAAGCTAAAGAGAATATGAAACTAATTAGGCATTAGATTCAGATGTTGGTTTCTGAAAAACTTTTAATGATTAGTTTTATGGAAATTATATATTTACAGTATTAGTAGTACAAGTGGAGTCACAAGTGAATAATTAAGGAGTGTATTATTGTACTAAGCTTCAATTACCTCGTTCTTGCTAAGTATTTCAATGGCATCTTCATGAAGCCACAACCGGCTGCGTTTTCTTAGCTCTTGCTGAGATTGTTTGCGGACAATATCCTTGCCCATTTCTTGTAGTAAATGATGCATCCACAACTTTCCTCCAAAAATCGTAAGTAAAGATTTCTCAAGGAGGATTCTTATACTTATATCCGGATAGTAATCACAGCTTTCAAATATCCTTTTCACACGCTTTACACTCTCTCCTTTAAAGAAGCATGCAATGTCCAGAAATATATCCTTCTTGTCCGGAGATGCTAATCCATCAAATCCTACTCTCAACGTATGAAGAAATTGTTCACCAGGATTCTTTTTTAATCTGTCCAGTTCACTACACCACTCAGTTAAACTTCTCCTGAATAGAAAGGAGCTGAAAACTGTAAGAGCAAAAGGAAGACCACCAGCGTAATCTACAAACTGGTAGGACAAATCAACATACTCATCAAGAGGACGGTCTCTGCCAAGGGCTCTTCGAGAAAAAAGTATGAGAGCTTCATCAAAGTTAAGTTTTCCAACCCTGTGTATTTTTGGCTCATATGCTTTTATCAGTCTTTTATCTTTTGTGGTTACAATGATTCTGCTGCCTTGACCAAACCGATCATACAATCCTCTGGCACCACATCCAACTTAACATCCTCTACACTTACTTTGGTATTGGACAGGTTAGGTTACCAAAGTTTCTTTTGCACAAAAGGCAAAATTTTCCATTCAGACATCTCTCTAACATCATGGATGAAACAGCTAGCTTCAAATTTATTACGAATTCTTTCAAAAAGAACTTGTGCCATGGTTGTCTTACCTATCCCCGACATCCCACAAATCCCAATCACAGTAGCTTCATGTTCATCCAACCCTCTACTCATGTCCAATTCAATTTTGTTTACACGATCCATTCCAACAAAGTCCTTGAAATCACTAGTTGAGAGTGTGTGATTCAATTTTCTTGAGATATTTTCGACTATTTCATCAATAACTTTTGCCTCTACCTGCAAAGAGGGTAGAACATGAATGTCTTACTTATTCCAGTCCATAAAAAATAAACAAAAAAACCAAGGTGCATCGGAGATTGTATATAGTATGATAGGAGAACTACAAAGCCATTCAGCCTTGTGTGATAGGAGAAACTATCACATTTATGTGTCTGTCCTTCATATGCGATAAGTCTTCCTAGTTATTTTTTTACTTGAGAAAGAATTCCCTAACTTTTAAAACGTTACTAGTCGACTGTGACTACAGAAAGACATCATAAGCATGGTTCAACTTAACGTACAGCAATATTACATTCCAGCCATGTTACTAGACGTGTTTAATCTCTTTATAAAAATACCATGCAATCTCAATTATCTGTTATAAATGCGATAATTTCTCAACTCATGTGAACCCTTCCACTGCCAGCTTGCAAAACTCAGACAGCATGTATATATTTTCATAAACAAATATGTTTAAGTTGAACTAATATAGCTAAAGCAAATATTCTTAGAGCATAACACCTGATGAATCAAACGAGACAAAGGAATAATTTCAGATGAAAAAATTACCTGTCTTTATATCCCATCCGGAGATGCTGCCTACTTGAGCAAAAGCCTCCCTCCACTTTTTTATCCTTTCTCCTCCGTCTTTGAGAACTTGTTCATGTTTAGCAAAAGCCTTCTCAAAATCTCCACTCTGCTTTCTTACATGGGTTGGTTCCACGTCATAGAACACAGGCAAAACTGTTAGTCCAGACACAGTCATGCACAACAATCTTCGCAAGCTCATCCAAACACCACGTCGAAGAAGCATAGTTTATTGAAAGAATAACTACGGAAATACTGGACTCGTCCAAGGAAGTATACTCTCCACCCCTGTCACTTCTGAGTTTCTTGATTTTGTAGCCACTTTGATGTTCAACCATGGACTTGAATCTTTTAAAAATATTGAAGACATGTGACTTGTGCTGCAAGAAGAATACCCAACACATTCTAGTGTGATCATCTATAAAGGTGAGAAAGAATCTGTTGCCTGCAGGAGTAGTAATCTGCATTGGACCGCAGATGTCAAAGTGTATCAGTTCTAAGGGCTATGATGCTCTCCAAACTTTCTCCTTGTCCAAAGGTTCTCTGTGACCTTTTCTTGTAGCACAACCAGAGCACACATGCTTTGTGACTTGTAATCTAGGCAGACCTTGCACCATTTCTTTGTCTTGTAGGAGCATCAAACTAGTATAGTTTAGATGTCCATACCTTTTATGCCACAGCCAAGATGACTCCTCAACTGTTACTTTATTAGCCATAGAAGGTTTGACATATTCTAGGCTTAAAGGAAAACATCTATTTCCCTTCATTGGTACACTTGCAATCAAATCCTGCATCTGCCTATCCCTATAAATATCAACCACATTATCACCAAAGACAAGCCAATATCCATGTTCTACCATTTGACCTACACTTAACAGGTTCTCATCCAAACCAGGGACAATCATAACTTCCTTAATGTATCTAGTCACACCCTGCATTTCTATGACCAAAGTGCCTTTGCCAGTTGACTGTACCAAATCACCAGTACCCATTTTGACTCTACATTTCACATTCTTATCAATGTTCACAAGCAAAGACTTCTGAGAGCTCATATGATTACTACATGCACTGTCAACATACCACATATTCATATTCTTTCCAATAGTAGTAGAATGACATGCATAAAACATTGTTGCAGGTTCTGTTACCTGATTAGCAAGATTTGCTACTTTTCCAGCCTTGTTTGCTTGATCACATTCCTTAATGTTGTGACCAAATCAATTGCAACCATAGCATTTTGGCTTCCCTTTAAACCAACAGTCTCCATAGTGTAGTTTATCACAATGCTTGCATTTTCCCTTAGCCTGATATGATTTTCCTCCTTGATTGACAGAGTTGTGAGGTTTAGAATCCCATTTCTTACCCTTCGATTTCCAGTTCTTCTTTGGCTTAGCATCACTAGAAGAAGAACTTGACTGGGTTCCCTTCTGATTCACACTCATACTACTGAAAGCTCTTTCAGTGGTACTCTCAGCATGCCTATCAAGCCTTTGAGCAAAACCTCTTAGTGCAGCAATGACTTCTTGCACCTCAATAGTTTCAATGACCTTAGTTTGCTCAATTACATAACACATTGGATCAAACTCTTTAGTCAGACTTATAAGCAATTTCTGAACCAATCTTCCTCCTGATAAATCTTCTCCATACCCCTTCATTTGATTCACCAACTCAAGCAAACGAGTGAGATACACGGACAAGGTTTCATCATCCTTCATTCTTGTGTACTCAAAATCTCAACGCAGACCTTGTAGCTTAATATATCTCACTTGCTTATCACCATGAAACTCTTGATGTAAAACATCCCAAGCACCTTTTGAGGTTTCTTCGTTTGAGATTCTGGGGAAAATGTCATCTGAGACAGCTCCTTAGATAATACCAAGTGCCTTAGCATCCTTCATTAACAAAGACACCTTCTCTGACTCCGATGACCCTTCTTCATCAACCTTCTTCCCTTTCGATTCTGAAATCCCAAGACCCTTTTCAACTAGATCCCAGATTCCATGCGACTTAAAGATATTTCTCATTCGGATCTTCCAAAATTCATAGTTATCACCATTGAATACTGGAGCTCGAAGATCACTACCACCTGACCCAGCCATTTGAGACCGGAATCGATGAACTGAGTTGGAAATTTCTCGTTGGATTTTCCAAGCTTAGCTCACATAGCTTCAACGCCCACTATCCAGATCCAACCTTCGCTTTTGATACCATGTTGAAGTTTTGGATTACTGAGGGAGCTGGGAAGGTACATAGAGAGAGAGAGAGAGAGAAGAGAGAGAGAGAGAGAGAGAGGAGAGAGAGAGAGAGAGGAGAGAGAGAGAGAGAGAGAGAGAGAGAGAGAGTGAGCTCAGAAGAGAATAGAAAATTCCTCACTGCTACATTATTTCCATTGCAGAGGTCATGCTTTTCATTCATTGCAATTCTCACTTCTTACATCAGAAATCATCACCAATCAAAAACACGGCCATTGTGATTATGACACTTGGCAGTACAAGGCATGTTAGCCGTTGGTAAATAACAACCTGATCTAAGACCTTACACTTGGCAATATGAGCTCAAGTCATCATAACTGACACTTGGCAATATGAAATTAGTAAGCAATTTACTCTTCAACAACACTAAGGCTCGCTTTGTTGAAAGGAAAAGCAACTTGCATAACAAAAAAGGAAAAAGAAACAAGAGAAGAAAAGTTTCCACAACTTTGCAGTGTATATAATTGAGTCTTTGATTTCACAAATCAATACAACATGGTAACTCAACCACAACAAAGTCCCATTTCAAATAATGGTATTTAGGAATTTTCTGATATTAATCTTCTTCATTGGAAGATATAAAGATATAAGGTCACATTATGCTACAAGAAAAGTAATTGATTACTAATTATGTACACTCAAATAGGCCTGTGCGGTTGGACCGAAAAAATCGCAAACCGGCGGTTTCCGACCGTTCGTTTCGGGCGGTAAACCGCTTTGAGGTGAAAGTCAACGCCGGTCCAGTTTTTATTATCGAGCCGAAGGGTCTCAGGCACGGAACCGGTATCAATTTTCCCCAAACCGGCGGTTACCGACCGAACCGATATATATATATATTATTTATTAATTATTATTTGAATTACACGTGTCAGCATGTTATTGGTTATAATGGGAGAGTTGTATGGGATTACGCTAGAACCGGCTACATAGAATCACCCGATTTCTTCTCCTTCGCCAAACCCTTCGATCTCTCTCTCATTTTCACCTCAATTTAGCCCATTCGAACCCTAAACCCTCTCTTCTCCGGTCGTTCTCTTCTCTCCCTTGTTCTAGTCCGGCGACATCTTCGCCTAGCACCTCCTCTTGTTCTCGTCTCCCTCCTCTCCTCCGACCCGATTATCTGGTAAGAAAAAAAAATTGGATTGCCTCTGTCTCTGTCTCTATCTCTTTTTCTCTTCTTTTTTCTCTCTTCTTTCTTATCGCCTCTCTCTTTCTCTCTTTATGTTTCTCTACCTGTAATTGTTAATTTGTTAGTTTGTAGTGGATGAAATTTATTAGGATTTTATATTTTATTTAGGGTTTGTTTAGGATATGAATTGGGGATTTCGGGATTTCGGGATTTAGGGTTTATGTTAGAGTTTTTAGAGGGTTATGTAATCTGTTTATGGGTTTATTTTTGTTGGGGTTCGTATTTTTTCAGTCTTAATTATCATCTTGATTTGATAATGAGTTGTTTATGTTAATTGTGGATAGATAGCTAGCTTGTGTGACTCGTGAGCTGCTGCTATTTGTGTTGGTGTGAGCTGCTAATTGTGGACAAAGCTTAAATTCATGTATAAATCAAAATCACAATTGAATGAATCTGCTGGTGTTTGTTTTAGCTGCTGGTTTTTGATTTGAAATTGAATGAATCTCTTGTTGTTTTGATTTGAAGCTGCAGGTGTTTGTTTTAGCTGCTGGTTTTTGATTTGAAATTGAATGAATCTGTTTTTGTTTTGATTTGAAGCTATATTGGTTTGAGAACATGTTGTTGTAGCTGCTGGTTGGTTAGGTTTTGTATAAATATATTGGTGTGTTTTTTTGTTTTTGTAGCTGCTGGTTGGTTAGGTTGTTATTGTATTTTCTGTGTGTAGTCTGCTGGTTGGTTAGGTTGTGTGTGATTGTTTTTCATTATGGTGTCTTTTGTGTATAGGATAAGATGGAGTCTAGCCAATCCAACACTAATGCCTCAGGAAGTGCACCTTCCATTCAACCCCAAACAGAACCCCAATCCCAATCCCAAACAGAAACAGAAACTGAAACCCAATCACAAGTACACTCATGTACTGTGGGAGGGAAGAGGAAACCCCCAAAATCTATGGTGTGACAACACTGCAAGAAAGTCCACAAGAAAGATGATAATGGGATCGATAAGGTACTTGCAGTTTGCAACTATTGCAAATTAGAGATGCCGGGTGATTCTAGGAAAAATGGGACAACCAGTATAAGAAATCACCTAGAGAAGAGATGCAAGCTCTCTCCTCTTTTTGAGAGTGGAGATAGAACTCAATCGATCTTGACAAATATCACTATGGGCGGTCAAGCACAATTGGTTCCCCACACCTTTAATCAACAAAGGTGTGAAGCCAAATGTGTGAGGTATGTCATTAGGGATGAGATCCCTTTTAGGCATGTTGAGGGTGGAGGGTTTAAGGAGTTTGTGTATGAGTTAAACCCTAAATTCAAGATCCATAATAGACAAAAGATAGCTGCTGGAGTTTGGGATTTGTTTTTAGTTGAGAAGGTCAAAATAATGAGTGTGATAGGTAATCACAGGGTAAGTATCACAACTGATACTTGGACTTCGATCCAAAACATCAACTACATGGTAGTCATAGCTCATTTCATGGACAATGAGTGGAATTTTGCATAAAAGAATTATCAATTTCACAAAGATCACCAGTCACGAAGGTATTGACATAGGCAAGACTTTATGTGCATGTTTGAATGCTTGGGAGATTGAAAAATTGTTTAGCATTACGGTTGACAATGCTTCGGCAAATGATGGGGCGGTTGTGTATGTGGGAAATAGGATGAAGGATTTTAATAACCTTTTACTTGATAGGAAGTATTTGCACTTGAGATGTGCATGTCATATCCTTAACTTGATTGTTAAGGATGGGTTGAAGGAGCTTCTTTGCTCAATCGAGGGGATAAGGAATTGTGTAAAATATATTCACTCATCCCCATCAAGGTTAGATTCTTTTAGGGACCATGCCTTAGAGATGAGGATGGATGGGATGGCAAATGTGCCAATGGATGTGGTGACAAGGTGGAATTCAACTTATAAAATGCTTGATTGTGCTTTCAAGTACAAGCTTGTGTTCAATAGGATGGCGACGGAAAATGTAGCTTTTCAAGCTTACTTTGAGGAGATAGATAAGGATGGGATGAAGAGAGTGGGTCCTCCGAGTAATGAAGATTTGGAGAAGTCAATCTCATTTGTTCACTTTCTTAAGAAATTCTATGACACAACCTTGAAACTAAGTGCAACCAAAACGGTTACATCCAATATAATTTTCCATGAATTGGTTAGTTTACAAGTTGAGATTGAACTCAAAATGAGTGATCCTAGAGATCCGGTCTTGCAAAGGGTGGCTTCATCAAAGAAGAAGAAGTTTGACAAGTATTGGGGGAGTTTTGAAAGTGTGAACAAGATGATTTTTGTAGCATTAGTGTTAGACCCAAGATTTAAACTTCAAATGCTTAAGATAAGCTTCCAAAATCTCAAGGCCGAAGAAAACAAGATAGATGAGGTTGTGTGTGAAGTGAGAACATGCTTGTTGAATTTGTATAATGAGTATAGAGGGGCGGATGGCTTAGTGAGCCAACCAATGAATGAAGGCGAAGATGAGAATGTTGGAAATGATCTTGAAGGCTATGATGATGTTCAAACCAAAATGTTTCATCAACTTGTGCAACAAAGGAAGGAGGAACAACTTGTGGAAATATCCAATGAAGTGGATAAATACTTGACCGACCCTTTTGAAAGCCCTTTTACCAAAGGTTTCAAACTCTTGAATTGGTGGAAAGGCAATGAGAGTAGATATCCAATTCTTTCAAAGATTGCCAAGGATATCTTTGCAATCCCAAGCTCAACCGTTGCTAGTGAGAATGCCTTTAGCCTAGGCAAGAGGATTGTTGATCCTTTTAGAAGTTCATTGACACCTAAAATGGTAGAGGCATTAGTGTGTACTAGTGATTGGCTTAGGGCGGATGAATTTTGGTTCTACAAGGAACCAACGGATGAAGAGCTTGCATTCTATAAAGAACTTGAAGCACTTGAAGCAAGTAAGACATAATCTACTATTTTGTTTTAAATAATTTATGTTTCTATCTTATTTTTTTAACATTCATGTTTGTTTTTTAAACATAATTTACTTGTTTTTTTACTAGATGTGGCCGGTACTCAAACTTCTACAACACTACCTCCTCGATTTGATTCCACATCATCATTACCTACTATTTGAGACTCATCAAATTTTGAGTTGTGAGAGACATACCATGGTTTGTTACTTTGTTTTGTTCCACAAAATTTGTTGTATTGTAACAATTAAGTTTTCATTGCACATTTCATATTTGGGTTGTAATTAATTTTAAATATTCTCATTGCACTTCATTAATCATTTCATATTTGGGTTGTAATTTAATTTAAATACGTTTTCATTGCACTTCATTTTCTATTTGGGTTGTAACTTATTAAAGTTTTCATTGCACTTCAATTTGTATTTGAGAGTTGTAACTTCTTACTAAGTTTTACTCAAGTATTTTGATGATATGATATGAATATGATGCTTGAAAATCAAAAGTTGTGAATGACAAAAATTAGGTGGCCTAAAACTAGTATAATAAACAAAGGCTTGAAAGGTGAAACAAAGGCTTGAAAGTTGAAACAAAACATGGCCTGAAACTGAAGCAAAATCTGCAAAACAGGGCTTGAACAAATGGCCTAAAACTGTATCAAAATCTGCAAAACAGGCTTGAAATTGAAAATGAATTGGGCTTCGCGGTAAGCCCACACCCGAACCAAACCGGCCGGCATTGCGGTTCAACCGCAGCCTGCGGAACCGGTTGCGGTAGCCAAACCTTCCATTCCGAAGGCTGTCGGACGGTAACTGGTTGAAGATGATCGGTGCGGTAACCGAACCGAAAACAGCACTACACTCAAATAGGTCAAGTATACATAAAATGTAATATTTACAACTCTAGTCAACACTAGCACAACGGAGCAAGTAGTCTTTCATACCATTATCATAGTGCGGCAGCCTCTCAGAGATGTGTGGGATGTATGAGCCCACATATCGGCGAGGGAATTTTTTTTTGGTCGAAATATATTGGTGAGGGATTGCTGCGCTACTATAACTAATGCATAAATGATTTCTTGACATTAAAGAGATACATATAGCCACAAATAGATACCAGACTCATCAAAAAAGGAGTGCTGAACTCTCATCCTTACGAATCTAATTTGAAATTTAGTACAACTCATGCTTTAACAAATTATTGACACAAAGTTGATTAAGAGGAAAACCAAGTCAAGCGGCCAGTGGAAAACTAAAGAAGCACAAAGTGGAATTGATGATGATAAAGCAACGTATGCTTTCAGAAAGTTAATTAAGAGGCGTTGCCTCATTATGGCTTGTCTTTCCCTTTTGTGGTCGAAGAGATGCTGCATTGAATTTGAAATATTGATGAACAGCTCATGTGCGGTCTTGTGTCTATAGAGCCATAAATTCTTCATCTTCAACTCCTAAACCCTTAAATCTTACGAAACCCTAATAAACTTCATTTTTATATGAAATGAATAAAAAATGGTAGCTCATAATGCCTTAAGCAGGAAGCTTCATTTTTAACCGATTTTTTAAATTAAAAAAAAAACAAAAGAAGAGTTCGAAAAGTTTGCCAAAAGAGGAAAGATCAATATATCACAGTAAATTAATGTTTATGCATGAGGTACTTTCCAGGAAATAACCTAGTCTAAATCAATATACTTTGCTTTAGGAATCTCGGACAACTTGATTGCAAAAGGAAAAATGAGTAATTCCCATTCAAATAAATAATGTTTGAAAATTAAAACATGAGCAGCGAAAGATAATATTAAGCACAACTATATTAATTATACAAGGCAATGAGCCCTTCCCCTTGTACTCAAATCAAAAACTCATACCGAAAGTTCGAAAAACTATTATATGCTATTACTAAAATGTTGGTATCCTTTATGATATAACCCGTATATGTCTATTAATTTGTTCATTAAATTATATTTAGTTCAATATGAAATTCATAATTGTGTGTAGACTAAACTTGAAACCCCACTATATTTCAGAATTTGGAATTTCTCAGAATCTGGAAATACATTCAATTCCAATCCTATATCAAATTGAATCATATAGGAGAGAACAATCACATTAGAGATTTGACATGAATTTCATATCTTATTACTGAGTACGAGTGGAGATCGAGACCAGAAACCCAAAACACCGAGCGGCACGGGACCAAAAAAAAATTGAGTTGACTAAAAAGACAACAAATCGACACTGGTTCAAAAAAATTCCGGTGCCCTTTTTACAACTCAGAAAATTGGACCTGTTGACATTAATTTTTGTTTGGGAAACTTTTGATTCAGCCCAAATATGGGAAGTTTATATAAAGGACAAATTTTTTAGTATATTGACAATAATGCTCTTATTCATTTTTAGATTGTTTAAGGAGTCCTTTTTCTACTTTTCAAATGGTGCCAAAAAGTGTTGCTTCTTGTTTGCCACATGGAGCCAAAGAGTTCGATTATCTTGCTTTGATAAACTTTGGACTGATGTTGCATATGCTATTATGTTGTTGGGATGATCCCTTCACGTGAAATGAAGTTGCTATGTTTCTACTATCACGAGGTCTTCACATAGAGTTATGCTTCTTTCATGTTGTCTATATTGTGTAGCTCTTCTTCTCCTAAGCTATTCCAATATGAGTAGTCGTTGTCTTCTACTTCAATTTGTTCTGCTATCTGATTATAGATTTCGTCAAAAACTTTTGCTCCTGTTTTGCTTATTCTGAATTCATATGTCTCATATGGTCTTCTGGATGTAGTCTCAGAATAGATCTTGATAAAGTTGGTTTGGTAAAGGAGGTCTAGATGATCATCATTAAACAATTGTTGCTCAGCTATAGTTGCTCCTCTGTAGTTTTGAATCTCTTGTTTGGTAGAAATTTTTGAATTTACGGATTCTACCAGACTAAGCAGTTCATTATGAGAAATAATAATACTATGTTGTACCATATCTGGGTAAATACTATCCGTAAACCACTCTGGAGGTATGCTGGTGAAATCTAATTTTACATTTTTCTAGAGAGGGATATAAAAACCTATATCCTCTTTTAACTTTAAGGGAAATGAATCTAAATGATGACTGTTTTTAATAAAAAAGTTGACCTAAATAATCATACTCTATTAAAAAATCCTGGAATAACTGTGATAGTTTTTTGGTTATGCTCTAAATGCAGTTCTTTATGTTGGAAATATAAGTGCTAAATTGCAATAAAATAAACAAATAAATACTGCAAACAGAACATATATTTACAACATAAGAATTGAATTAGAAGAACCTTAATTGAGTTGAGGCAAGTGTTGGACACTCTGATCTTAAGACGAATTACACCCCACAATGGTGCTTATGGTTCACTAGCGTTTGCCTCCCAGGATGCAACGACTCCCCTCCTTGTAAAAGAAGAGGAAATTTGAACCAATTATGCAAGAACCTCTCTTTGAAAGTATAAAAACTCTAATTCTCTCTATATATGGAAGTTTGCATGTAGTGAATTTATTGAATAAAATGACCGCATGAGGATTGTTCTATTTATAGATGATGAAATACCATTTCCAAAAAAGTATCCCAATTTAAAAAGGCAATCAATGCATCCCTAGGTCTCTGATAGGGTTCCAGACATATATGAAGAGTTGCCATTCCCCATTTGAAGAACATTTGTTACTCTACTTAGGCTCCCACACAAACTTCTAAACAGTTGGGCCATTATAATAACCCAATGTTCATGTCTTTAACCCAATGGACTTTATTAATCTCCATTCAAATAGAAAATTAAAATTAAATAAAATAATATTAAATTTCTCACACTCTATATTCCACCATGTTAATACTAGCTAAATAAATAGTATAATGAGAACTTTTAGTAATAATTTTTATACCAGGTTGTGGATGATTTTTTAAATTAAAAAGAAATGCTTGAATGTTTAACTGAAGAGTTGTATTTTTTTCAGATTCTAATCTAATCATATGACTCTTAATATCTTATGGTAAAAATCTGTATCTCTGGGTTTGAAGAAATTATGAATTTTTAGTTTTTTGCTCAAGGGAAAATTCTTTATTGTTCTCAATTAAGTTGAACTCATTAGCCTCTTCTTCTTCTAAAATCATGCTTAAATTATGACATCTTAAATTCATAATTCTAAAATTTCGTACCATTGTTTCCTGCTCTTTCTTCATTTCTTCATTTTTAGCATGCAAAAAAGAAAATTGTTGTTTTGCTCTTTTATAATCATAATTATAAGCTAAAAACTCTTGCTCAAGGGCTTTAATCCCCTTTCATGCTTTCATTATTAGTTATAATGTTTGGTACCATTATTTTTGCTACCAAAGGATGATACTTATTGATACTCCAAAATATTGCATACCTGTTGATGAATAATACGAGATAAGATGTCTGCTATAAAGTATTAGCCATACCTTTAATATGCTCAAATACTGGTCTAAATTCATTTCCTGTAATAGAATCTACAGAATTAACCCATCTTTAGTTTGTTTGTTTGTTACTAGTAATTTTATTATAATGAGAAACAATATTCTGAAAATCTGTTCTAATAATAAATATCTCATTATGTAAAAACAACGAAAATGGTTCAAGGGAGTTAATAACTCCTAAAATTTAAAGTCAGTGGCTGGAAGTCTAGCCTTTATATCACTAAATTTACTAGATGCATATCTACAAACTTTTTCCTCATATTTAGGTTCTTCTTTATGTTTCTTCTGATTTAAAATTCCTGTCATCTTGTTGATGATGCATTTGTTTCAACTATTTTGTAATTATTGTCTAATAGTAATGCTAAATGCTTAAGTTTATATGTTGTTTAATATTTTGAACTTATTTAATATATTCACTATTAAAATATTTTTGACATGTTGAATTCTAAAAATTTTATGTTGTTCATAAGGTCTATATTTTCTGTAACTCTTTTTATATAGCCTTTTCTGCTTTTATTTTCTATGACATCCATACTATTTAGATAAATCTATATTTTTACAACTCATGTAAAATTGTTTTCTAATTTGTCTCTTTGTTTTAATTTTACTACATTCTGATAATATATCATATACATGTTGAATTTTTGCCCTTACGGATACATCTTGTTTTCTAGGATGTTTTTGCCATTCATTCCAAATTCTTTCTCCTATTGGTCCTTTAATTTTAGTCATACACGTGTCTAATAAATTAAGATCATCAATTCTGCCAGTTCTACCTAAATACTTGAAAAAAATCTTAAGTATATTAACTTATATATTGAAAATCACAAATTTGTAATTGTTCTAAATTTCTTATGGCTCTAATATTTGTTCTTGTTCATTTCTACCATCTAATGTATTATGGTCTAAAAATTCATATTTAATTAATTTAACAAAAGCATCTATATTAAACATTTCTTTTGCCGCTTGATGCTCTCTTGGATTTTAAGTTTTCCATGTTCGGAAATAATTAAAAACCATTCGATCTACGGTATGTTCAAAGTAATCTAACATATCTTTATTATTACTAAAATCTAACATTAATATTATTGTATGTACGCATCCTTTTTCCCATCTTTCTATTGTTTTCCCCAATCTTGTGGGTCTACATGATGTAAATTTAATATATTTCTTGCTAAACTAATTTGTTCAATTCCTTTATAAGGGATTCTATTTTTTCTTAGTCCAATTGTTTCTTACATGAAAGGCATCCTTACCAGTTTCCTCATTATTTTCTCTATATGATTCATTAGTTTGCCTAAGGTTTTGCAGGTCTGTTATACTTGCATTAACTACAGATGGTCCAGTTGAACTATATTGGTCTTCTGCCCGCATGCATTCTACTTCAACTAACATATTTTGATATTCTTTTTCTCCTAAAATGTGTTTAATCTATGTAATCCTAAATCATAAGTCTTATATTTTTCTTTATATTGTTCTTCATTTAAATTATCTATGTCATTTATGAGTTTATCAACTATATTATCAAAATTATGCTCAATCATATTTATTTCTAAAATATCAAAGACCATATGAATTTCTTATGCTTCACTTTCTAAGTCTATCTCTTTCTTTTAGTATGCCTAAATGTCTTGAAATGCTTCTATGGATTCTTTACAAACTTCTAAATGATACTAGTTCCTTATTATGCTATTCTGTACTTCTAATTTCCTTATGGGATAATTACTTACTTTTGGTGATTTTATTAATTATGCTAGATTCCTAATTTCTACTTGGTATGCGAATTTTTGCATTTTCAATTCTTGCAATTTTTCTTTTATTCTAATAGGTGTCCACCAAGGTCCAAACATGAAACGGGTTAGGGCTCCAAACCAATCCGTCAAAACTGACCAATCCAATCCAATCCAATTTTATTAGTTTCGATAATATTGGTGGATTGGATTGGATCCAAAAAATGAAAAACTGATTGGATCAGTTTGGTTAGTAGATCCAAAGTTTGAAATCCAATTCAAACATAACCAATCTAACCTTTTAAAAAAATATCCAAATATTTACCTTTTCTAGTGTTCGAACCTAAACCACTTTTCACGTTCCAATTACACAACCTTGTTGATATTCTTTCGCAAAACATATATATTAATATAGCATAAAAAGTCTAGATTTCTAATTTTTTTGGTTGACTTTTGCGTCTCTTGTTTTAAGGAATGGATGTAACTTGAGCTCTAAAATTTATTTATGTATATAACATGGTATTTTCTAAAATTTATTTATGCATATTTATGTCTAGATTTCTAACTTTTTGTGTCAAACTTCATGTTGTAGTGGTGTTTTTTAAAATTTATTTATGTCTGTTTACTACATAATTAATGATAATTTTTATAGAATTGAATTCTATGTGATTATCTTTGCGATTATCATATTTTCATGCAAACCGATCATCCAATCCAATCACTGTACATTGGCTTGGATCCTAACATCCGTACACATTGGATTGGATTGTAAATCCTCAAATCCAATAAAATATTGGATTGGATTGGATTGATAAAAATTCGTTGATTTTGAACCGATGTACACCTTTACAACGGGTTCACTATTCTTAATTGGTGATTTGGTAATTAATTAAATTTAACATTTTATGAAACGTTGATTTGTTGTCAGTCGTGTTGGTTGACTTTTGTCCTTAAGGTACTTTATTGTTATAATTATATTATTAAGGAGCTAACTAAGGTTCATATACCAAATTTTCAGCGGGGTCCTGGTCAAGGTTTCTAAATGCCAAAATAATAACCAAACACCATGCCTAAAACATGAAAATGCAAAGAAGCCAACCTAAAGGGCTGTGGAGCATAACTTAGAGGTTCCTTCACAGACATCCAGTTATTGTTATGGCAAATATCAAACATGACCAAGTACTCGAACAAAGTATAGATTATCATTTTAGCAAGATAATAATAGAATTCTAGAAATGTTTCTCTATTTTGGACAAGAAATCTACAAAGAAAAAACAAAAATAAAAGGGAAAAAATGCTTACTTAATTGCTTTTATTGCTGGAATTGTTAGCTCTAAGCATTAACAATACATCTGCAGCTATGTATTAATAGTCGTTGAGATATTAATGGTGTATTAACAGTGGTCGGAGTAATAAGAGAAAGTATATGAATAAATGAAGTTTTATTGAAAGTTGAAAGAGAGTATATCAACAAAGGGAGTTTCATGATTTCCTACTTATATATGACAGCCACCTTCTTCTTCCATCCTATACAATCACACTACTTACAAAGCACACACTTACAAAACATCGCATACATACTTACACCTTTTCACATGTAGACATACACAATTACACATAAGCAAACAAAGAATTCACATGCAAATAAAATTAAAACACACTTTTATGCTCACATGGACAAAGTTTTGAAATAAAGCCAAAGTACACCTCCTGGAGTCACATGTTGTTATAGCATGTGGTTGTTTTGAACAAGAATTGCTGAATTTTGCTATTGGTCTTGGTTTGTCTTCAAGAGAGGACTTGCATGTCTATTCTTTTGTTTTGTGTACCCATTCTTATCTTTTTGAAAATATTTTGGATTTGTTTAAGAGCTGGCAGTTTCTTGTGGGGTTTTCACTAGATTCTCCTTTTTGTTTTTATATTAAATATCTCAATATTTAGCCCAACTCTCCTAACCCCTCAAAAGCTGAGTCCATCAACCCTCCTCCTAAACACCTCTGAAGCCCAATTTGTTTTTAGCCCAACTCTCATTTTTTTTTCTTTTCGAATCTCTCTCTCTCTCTCTCTCCCTCCCCAAAGCTCACTCTTTTTTTTCCCTCTCTCTATCTCTACTAGCTAATAGGCTTTGTTTCCGTGGTTGTTCGTCGATTTCATTTTCGTGGCCGTTCATCTCCTTCATACTTATTGGTTGGAAATCTAGTTTGTTTGATTGCAAAATTAGGGTTTGTAGAAATTAATTTGGGGATTTTGTTTTAGTTGGGTTGTTAATTTTTTTTATAGAAATTAAGGGTGTAAACTACGGGGAATGCACATTGTTTGATGTGCTTTTGAAGGCAGATTGTCCTAGGTTATAGTGTTTTTTTTTTTTTTTTTTTTTTTTTTTTTTTTCATTTTTTTTTTATTTTGGAGTTAGTATGTGGACAAATAAAAAAAGAAGCTAGCGCAGAACTGGAAACCAGAAAACCGCCCCGAAAATTGGCAGTACGAGTTGGTGCGGTTTTCCAACCATTTATTCTAAAAATCACACTGAACAACACTAGTTGAATAGTGCCGGTTTTGATTTTGGTGTAAGGTGGAAATCGAACCTCGCCCAGGCCTATTAGTGAGATGAAGAACATTGATAAAAGAGAATGATCAAATTGCGTTGCAATTCCAATTGAATGGGTTCTCCAAACACATTCTATATTAGCTTGGGTAGTCGTGACATGTTGCTGGAAGTTACTCAAAGTTTGTGGAAGTCCTAAGAACATTCCGTAAGTGGGTCCTCATAGAAGGGAGAATTAAAAGATAGTTTTAATTCACATTCGTTAAAAAAGAGTTCAAGGATCGCCTACGACCTCGCTAATTAGAACCTAATAGACCGCACAATGATAAGCTCGTAATTTGGGTAAATAATTGATGATGACGAAGTCAATGGTTAATTCAATTAATCCGATTAATTGAAGAGATAATTAATTAAAGGGTAAATTACAGTAAACCCCCCAACCTATAGGGTCATTTATGAGTTCATACCCGATTTTGGGGACATTTATGAGTACATACTTAACGTCGAGGAAAACCTACAAATTGCCCCCTCCGTTAGCGAGTCCGTCAGGAAATCTGTTATCTGCATACGTAGCGTCTAGCTGGATGATTTTTTAAGGGCATTTTCGGTAGCTGAAGTCCCTGGGTTTCGCGTTGAAAACAACACGTGGTTTACTCTAATTCAAAAAACAAAAATAGAAAACCCCCAAATCGAGTTCCATATCTAAGGCCCCACTCAGACCTAGGCCCCAAATCGATAGAAGTGGATGCCCAGGTTCCAATTCGAAGAAGACAAAGACGACGATGTTGACGAGGTCAATGATGTCTGCAAATCGAAGATGCGAAGTGGGCCAGCCCATTTGTCACTGCGGCAATCAATGTCATTTGAGGACGTCGTGGACTGACAACAACCCTAGGAGAAGATTTTGGGGCTATGCCGATTATGGGGTAAGAAGAGGTTGTGCATTCTTTGAATGGTATGATCCACAGGTATGCGAAAGGTCCAAGATTGTGATATCTGGACTATTGAAACGATTACGTAAGGAAGAAAAGGAAAACCGAAAATTGAAAAAAGAGGTTGGAGCTGCCTTGAAAGCACAAAGATTTCTACGAGCAAGTGTTTTGGGTTCTTGGATTTTTTTTATTGTGTTGTTGGGAATGCTAGTACTGGAATGGAGAGACTCTGGGTCTTCCAAGAATGTGAAATTAGTACTTACATTTTAGGGTCTAGATCTTAGAAGAGTTGGGTGATGTTTTTTGTGGCCATTTGTGGGACATTTTGGAAAATCAAAGTGCTTTGTGTATGAAAGGTCTGTTTCTTGTAATTTCCCATGTGAAGTTGTATGAAAGATGTTTATGTATGAACAATTGTGAGGCAATTTGGAAATGCAGATTGTTTATGTATGCACAATTGTTAGGGAATTTCCAATTGAACAATTGCTTGAAGGCAAATTCCATTATATTTTGAGTTCAAAATACATACATACTTTTCCAACCTTTGCAGCTCAAATTTACAAAATGAACATGAGCACCTAATCTGAAATACAATAAAACAGCTACCAAAAGTAAACTTATCAGGCCACATCACAAAACCAGAAGTTGTACTAGTTCAAAATAAAATGGAATTTGCATAAACTAAGAACTAAGAGCCTATGTTCTCTGTCTCTTGGATGCTCTCAATCCTATTCTGGGCAATTTCAACTGCATTTGGCTGGGAAGCATTTAGTGCAGCCTTCTTTGCAATAGCAGCAGCCTTTGCCCTTGCATATGCAAGCTTTCTCCTAACTCTTGCTTTTGCTTCATCCTACAGATAAAAAACACTTTCAGCTTCAAACAATAAAACAATAAAATAGCTTTTCCATTTTAAGGAAGAAACAACATAACATTTCATCAATAGCCTAGCAATAAAATAGGCACTCACATCAACAACTACAGGGTCTTGGTTAGATATTTTTCTTGGTCTTCCTTTACCCCTTGATAGGGGTTTTTCCTTTTGAGGTAGATTCCGATGGTGAGTGGTTTTGTTATGGCCAATTGAGCCACAAATACTACACCTCATTTGCATTCCTTGTCTTCCCAACCATTTTTTTCCCACTCTTATCTATTCTCTCTTCAGCTCATTTTATCCTCACCTTTCTAGGTCTTCCAAGTTGTCTAGTGTAGGCTGGTGGCTTTATTGCTGTCTGGTTGGTCTTCTCCCATAACTGTGATCCATTAATTGGTATAATGAGATTGTTATAGAGGGCCATGTAACTGTCCTTGCTGTAGTATGAATTCACATAATCGTCCAGAGCTTTACCTCCTTTGTAATGTATGACAGCAATTCTATTAGCACAAGGAATGCCTAACAAGTCCCACTTTCTGCAAGAACAAGTGTAATTATCCAAATCCACCATATATTGGTCACCTCTTCCTGCATCCACTTGATATTTAGGACCACCAGACCACTGCACAGTACAATTACATGCTTCTAACTTTTTCTGTTGCACATGGTCAAAAATGTTCTTGCATATTTGAAGAGGCCAACTGCTCATCTTGTCCCTCCTCCACTGGATCCTTCTCATCAACAAGAACTTGATCATCTCTAGAATCTTGTCTCAGCATTAGGCACAATGTCTTCAAATGCACTAGGCAGTCCTTTTTGCTTGTCAGATATAAAGGCCCATCCATAAGAATTAACAATGTCCACATCCTTGGCCAGCAGATCAATGAACCATATCCATGACTCCCTTGTTTCCATCTCAACCACAGCATATACTAGCACCCAAGCCTCATTATTGGGATCGATCCCAACTGCTGTAAGCAACTGTCCACCATAGACCCTTTTTAAATGGCAGACATCTAACCCAATAAAAGGCCTACAGTTCATCTTAAACCCTTTCTTTAATGGTTCTAAACAAATGTACAAACGCTTGAAAATAGTTTCACGATCAACAAACTCACACTGCATCTTTGTTGTGGAGCCAGGGTTTTTGTCTTCCAACTCATGGCAATAATCCCAGAGCATGGCATATTGCTCAGCAACTGATCCTTCAATCATTCGAAGCGCCTCTGCCTTTGCCCTATAAGCTTTCATCCTAGATATACCTACTTTAAACTCAGAAGAGGATGCGTTCACTATAGACTGTGGAGGCATCGTGGGATTTGACTGAATCCTAGGCAGGAACTTCTTTGTCAACCATTTACTTGAGGCTTGTGTGTTTTCAAATACTGTGACACAATTATGATTGGGATTATAGTATTTCACCACTAAGCTTCGATCTGTAGGGTTTTTCCATGCCACATAAATCTGCCATGGACAGCTCACTGCTTTACAAACTGCCTTCAGCTTATACTTTTCATTCCTGGTGAAAGTGACATCTTTCCCACTCAACAAGCAATATTCATGAACAACTTCTCTGAAAACCTTGCGGTCACTAAATATCATTCCAGTATCAAATACAGGGTTTTGTTTGTCTGTTTCATGGTTATAGTGTTTGAATTTTTTCCCCCTTGCAAGTGTTTCATCATCTTCATCTGAATGAACACTTCTTAACTGATCCTCCACTGCTTGATCCCCCTATTCCAATCTAGTGTCTTGAAGATTTGTATGGTGAAAATCCGTAGTCTGAGAAGGCTGCTCCCTATTTTGACCAGTCTGTGAAAGTTGCTCTTCATTTTGACTAGTCTGTGAAGGGTGGTCCCCACTTGGACCAGCATGTAAAGGTTGGTCCCCACTTGGACCTTCACCGTCATTAACAACACCACCTTCATTAACAGCACCATCTTCACCCTCATTTATCTCTTCATCTTCAAGAGGCTGAAAAGTATCTTCAACTGGGGCATGATTTGTAATCCACTGTTGCAAAAATATGGTTTCCTTAGCTATCTCTTCAATGTTATCCCCCCCATATTCACTGTCAACAAAACTAGATGCATCTGATAAGGATGCATCACTATCTTCCCCTTCTGTTGCACTTGCCATTGCCACACCTTTACCCTTTGAAGACCTTGTAGCCCTTGCCCTCTTTGGTGCCACAGGTTCAGCCACTTCTTTACCCTTTGAAGACCTTATAGCCCTTACATTCTTTGGTGGCTCAGGTTCAGCCACTTCCTTATCCTTTGAAGACCTTGCAGCCTTTCCCTTCTTTGGTGCCTCAACCTCTATTTTACCCTTTCCCTTCTTTGCTTCCTCAGCCATTGTTTTACCCTTTGCATTCTTTGGTGCCTCAGGTTCTAAAAAATCCCCAACATCCTCCACTAGTTCTTGGTCCACTATCTTCACTGTTTTACCCTTTGCATTCTTTGGTGCCTCAAGTTCTAAAAAATCCCCAACATCCTCCACTAGTTCTTGCTCCACTATCTTCACTATTTTACCCTTTGCATTCTTTGGTGCCTCAGGTTCTAAAAAATCCCCAACATCCTTCACTGGTTCTTGCTCCACTATCTTCACTGTTTTATCCTTTGCATTCGTTGGCTGCTCAACATTGCTCTTTGTATTATAAGGAACAAGAGGAATAGAATCAGCACATCCTATATCCTCAATCATGACTGACCTCTGTTTTTGTACCCCAGAACCTTCCACCATTTGCAGCTCGATCTGTTTGTGTTTGTTTGAAAAGGTGTAAGGGTCATCAGCCAACTGTGTCAAAAATGTATTAATCTCCCTTACTCCTGGAACACATTCACACATTTTCAGAACATCTTCATCAGACATAAGCTTCTCTACAGAAGCAGAGTTGGGAAGCTCATAGTGATATAACACTATACCATCATAGCCTAACTCCTTAACCATCAGACCAATTTCAAACATAGACATTTGGTCCTTATCGCAAAATTCAATGAAATCTATAGTCCCATTTACATACAAGTTGTCACATAAAGAACCCCCATGGTTCATTCAAATAGTAAACTTATCATCTTCACCTACAAAGCCACATAACAGTCAAACCTATCAATACACAATTGTTCAATATATAATTGGTGACTAAACAAGGACATAAACAAATGCAGAGATTTTGGACCACTAAGTACTGTTTGGTTTGAAAAAAAAAATTGCTTTTTTTAGTGCTTTTCCAACAACACAACGACATAAATAGACCATGAACCACAAATATCACTATCAAGCACACTTCAAAGCAACTGAAAGGTTTAGACAAAATCAAACCGCAAGCATCTTAACCCTTTATGAGGAAACCAAAAAGCAAAAAAAGTTAAAATTGCCTTCAACTTACAGTAATGAGGAGCACGACAACCACGAGGACGAATACCCCACGGCATCAAAGGGTTGGGAGATTTATTGAAGAAAAATCTAGACAAGGAAATTTATGAAGATGATGATGATTTACTAAAACGGAAAAGTGAATTTGGAACAAACACATATCATCGAAAAAAAAAGCGAGGAGTTTATGGGTAAGTTTTGTTACAGTTGTGAACGATCTTACCTTGAATATTTTGTTACAGTTGTGAACGATCGTTCAAGTTTTGTTACAGTTGTGAACGATCTTACCTTGAACGATCTTACAAAAAAGTGACTACTTACTCATTGATTTTTCCAAAACAAAATTGGTTGAATTTTGACTTCAATACTTTTGTGGGAAAGTGGATAGTACTTCATGTGAAACTTCAACACCTTTTGTTTTCCTCATAGATGTTTGATGGATTTGTTTGCATTTGTTGACATTTGCTTGCATTTCTTTAGGTCATCATAGCCTAGTTTCTACGGAAGTTTACTTCAACAGTCAAACTTGGTTAGAATTATAGGCTGATTTCCATTTTTATTGCTTTATTAGGTGAGTTTGTACAGATATTTTGTTAAAGTTTGATTGATGTTACAACTTACAACAATATTATTTGTTCCATACTTACCTTCTTTTGTTGGTTGACAGATAACTATGTTTCCATGGCAGTTAGCCCATTATTATTGTTGCCTTCTTTTGTTGGTTGACATAACTCTATTTTCTTGACAATTGGCCCTTATCAAGAACGATGATAATAAATAATAGTTTAATGATAAATGAGGCGCCAAAATATGATATTTGCAATTTTGATGGTGCAAGGATTTTCTAAAGAGCAACATGAAATCCTCAAAAAATTGGATGCCTTTTATAAAAGAAAAAAAGGTCGCACTTATCTTGACAAGACAATTAAGCACCTTGTTTTCAAGAACCCAACTAAAAGAATAGACTAAAAACATATTGTTAGTGATGATTTCAACAACGAACAGTTGGAGGGTGTTGATTTGATGTTGTTTGAGATATATCCCAATTTTAAATGGATAAAGAATTTTAACAAATTTCATATATAAGATCCATATTACCATAAAATTTTACACCATAATTCTAAAATTTCACAAGGAAAATATATGCAAATTCCTCAAGTCTACAATGAAACACCTACATTACTTCTCATGTTCCACATGAATGTCCAGACCCACAACCGTAAAAACATCAGTAATAACATAATGCATGATGTGCTCGCCTATATTTTTCCAACTTTTGCAAGAGGTGTTGTATCTATGCACATAGATATAAAAGATTGAATGATTTTAAAGTGATTGGAGCATTACGACTACACTTTGTGTGTGACACTGTGTGATGATGTTTACTCCATAGTTTGAGTCATTCTTGCGTGATTGCTTATAGTTGGAGTCTATTTGTATCTTCTTTATTGATTTTTCATTTGCTGTGATTGTAGGGGACTTTTTCATCCAGCAGCTGCAAATGGGCTGGGCTACTGTAAAAAGGGCAGACTGATGAAATTGTCCCCTTTGCCTGAGTTCGAAAATTAAGCCCCAAAATACCTCGAAAGGGCAGTAGAGCCTTATGAAGTATTTTGGTTACCTTCACCAACCAAAATAATGGCAGCTTACAGATAATTTATGCATGCTTACAGATAAAATTTTGAGCTTGGCATGAGAGGCATGTGGCATGAGAGCAAAATCAACATGAGTTTAGCACTAAGAGGAAATTTAGGCTTTCTTAGAGGGAAAAAGGGAAGTGTTAAGGTGAGAAAAGAGAGATTTTGTAGGAGATTTGGCTAGGAAGAGAGAAATGAAGAACAATGCTCTTCTGGCAGTTTGACAGATACTCTGTTTGCCAGAAGAGAAGAATAGAGAAGATGGTGAACAGTGCACGAGACTGCTGGTTTTTTGCAAGTTAGAGAGAAAGCTTACTTTCCAGGCGTGGGTTGTTTTTGTTGGGTAGAAGAGGCCTCATTTTATAGGCGCTGGAAATCATCCCTTCTCAAGAAACCCTAATGGTTTCTACCCATTTTGGCTAAGCTTTTCCCTTCCTTTTTCTTATCCTCCCCTGGCTTTTCCTATCTTGGTGAAATTTCCTCTGTTTATTAGCACAAAATCAGGAACTTTGGGAGCTCAATGCCCAATTTTCCATTCCCAGCCATTTCTTTTATTGCTTTCTTCTCTATTTTCCATGGCCAAGTCTGATGGGAAAAAGAGTTGGGAAATATATGCTAGTTCGAAGGGTGTTTCTGGCAGCTCGCAGGCTAATATTCTTTGGTTTCTTGAATGTTTCTTGCTTGGAACTTGCTCCCCCCATGTCTGAAACCTCGAGCGGCTTTGTTTAATGAACTTGCAGACCTTCTCTACGTGGCTTCTATTTTTTCCAGCAAAGGGCTGAGGCTTTTGTGGGCTTATTGTGAAGCTTTGTATGGGCCAAGGTGGTTCATTAAATAAGTGGGCTATTTTGTTAAATATTGGGCTTTTGAGTCAATAGGTTATTTGGGGCTATTTGGGTTATTTGGGCTATTTCTTTTCCTCTTGTGCTCACCCACATGTTTGGACCTAAGAAATGGGCTTGAGTCTCGAGGCTCCCAAGCAACCCGAGACTTTCCATTTCTTGGCCCATCAATGGGCCTCATGTTGATTTATTACCATCCATACCACAACCCACTCAAGCAAGCCCCGGGCATTCGAGTGGCTTGGGCCCACTTAGGCTTGTAGCGTGGTTGGGTGTGTAATAATGATTTCTTGCTTGGCATGGCATGGCATGTCGCTTGGCCTGGCACATCGCTTGGCATGCTTTTTATTATGCTTGATGGGATAATTAGCATGGATTTGCAGGGCCGATATATTCTAGCATGACGAATTATTTATTTAGCATGGCATGTGGATTGCCACTCGCATGTGGCGGGTTTTTGTGTACTCCGCTTTACGCCTTTCCTTGATAGAGTGTCATTTTGGGCCGATAATTTATTCGGGCCCGACCGTGGATTTTTTGGGCCTCAACATTAGCCCCCTTAATTATTAGGGCCATGGATAGGTGCTAGAATGGGCCGAATAATTAAACCTGACCTAAAAAATCAAATTTATAAGCTCCAGCATATTTTGTCGTTTCCCAGATACCAACTTCCTCCTTTTTCATTTACTATTTCTTCCTTCTTCTCCTTCCTCCTTACGCGCACCAGAGTAACTCTCTCTCCATCACCTTCATCTTCTTTTTCCTTTTCTTCCTCCAACGAACTCAGAGAGAGAGAAAGAGTGGCTGAGATCTAGAAGAATCGCATGTCTACAGCCGCTGGAATGGAGTTCGAGCCAAACCCGACTCCGTCATTCCCCTGTTTGAAGAAATTTGCTTGCCATTGCTGGAAGAGATTGTCTTTGTGCATAATTTTCTTCCAAAATCCCTAATTCCTTCCTTCTTGGTGCATCTGAGGTTATCCTTTGAGGGATTAACAAGGTATGCTCTTTTCTCCTGCAATTTCTTGCATCTATTGAGGGGTTTGTTGGGTTCTTCATACCCATGGGTTTTGCTCTTTGTTTTGGTAGCCAAGCATCCACTCCTTTTGACCCATCCATTTTTTGTTGGAGTAATCGTTAGCAAGGAAGAGTTTGCATCAGTTTGGGTTGCCCCCTATTTTCGGCAAGCTGCTGGAAGAGTGCGAACGTTGTGAGAAGAAATCGTTGGTGTAGACTGCATCCTTCTATTTTCTCCATTTTTCTTCCCCCTTTTCATCATGTGGTGGCCCTTCACTACTACAAAAAAGGAAAAACACGACGGGAATTCACTGTCGTGTATTCTATTTTCAAATGGTCGTGGAATCCACCGACATCTTTTCCATAACCAAACCACGACGGTGAATAACCGTCATTGTTAAAACAAAAAACGTCATCAAAAATTAAAAACCGACGTCTTTGTTCTGCAAAAAGACATAAAAAAAACAGTCGAGGATGAGAATAGACGACCAACTCCAACAAAAAAAACGTCGTTAAAAAGGAAACAGATGACATATATTAACAGAACATGGCCGCAAGATAAACATACAACGACGAGAACTTAAACTTCACGCCGTTAAATAAATATTTAACGACAAATATAAATACGACGTCTTTACAATAATAATAGACGACGTTATTGACACCTACTACGTCACAACATTTCCCACAACCGTCGTAAAATAAATTTTCCACTTCGATTTTTCTATGAATTATGACGTGGAAATAGATGTCAGGGTCATTACTTACGACGCATGTATTTACAGAGACGACGTTGAATTGGATAAATAACGTCGGTTTCAAATAAATGAGAGCCGTATTACAGAATTTATACGTCATATTTTGAAAATAAACGACGTGGAAAAAATGATGGGGTCATTAATTACGACACAATAATTTATAAGGACGACGTTGTCCTCTATATACAACGTCGGTACCATGAAAAAGACCGTCGTGTTTAATAATTTGTACGTCTTCATTTAAAAAATTGACGTCGTCTAATGCATATATCTTAACGTCGACAAGTTTAATGGACTTCAAATACCGTCGTAAAATAAATTTTCCACTTCGATTTTTTTAAAAAAAAAAAAAAAAAAAAAAAAAAAAAAAAAAAAAAAAAAAAAAAAAAAAAAAAAAAAAAAAAAAAAAAAAAAAAAAAAAAAAAAAAAAAAAAAAAAAAAAAAAAAAAAAAAAAAAAAAAAAAAAAAAAAAAAAAAAAAAAAAAAAAAAAAAAAAAAAAAAAAAAAAAAAAAAAAAAAAAAAAAAAAAAAAAAAAAAAAAAAAAAAAAAAAAAAAAAAAAAAAAAAAAAAAAAAAAAAAAAAAAAAAAAAAAAAAAAAAAAAAAAAAAAAAAAAAAAAAAAAAAAAAAAAAAAAAAAAAAAAAAAAAAAAAAAAAAAAAAAAAAAAAAAAAAAAAAAAAAAAAAAAAAAAAAAAAAAAAAAAAAAAAAAAAAAAAAAAAAAAAAAAGGGGGGAATATATTGGCTCTCAGTTTCAACAGTTTCTAGCTTCTAAAGGGATATTACACCATTGATCTTGTCCATATACTCCTGAACAAAATGGATTGGCAGAACGCAAAAAATAGACATTTAGTGGAAACTGCCATTACCTTATTACAAAATGCAACTTTATCTGAGAAATATTGGTTTCATGCTTGTGCCACTACTGCTTATTTGATCAATAGATTGCCCTGTCAACCTTTGCTTATGAAAGCACCATTTGAGGTCATGTTTGGTTCTTCTCCATCTTTGGCTCATCTCAAGATATTTGGTTGTGCATGCTATCCATTGATGAAGCCCTATAATCATACTAAGCTACAGCCTAAAACTACTCAGTGCATCTTTCTTGGATATGCTTCTCAGTACAAAGGATATATTTGCTTTAATTTTCAAGCTAACAAGCTGATTGTATCTCGACATGTCCTCTTTGATCAGTCTCTTTTTCCTTCAAGACATTCCAAGGACACGGTGGTTTCTAGAGCTCCTATCTCATTGTCTACTCCTTTTTATCCTCTGAGTACACCTCCTCATTTCTCCCATGTACCATCTGTGTACTCTATTGTCTCAGTGTCCTCCTCAAATTCTTCATCTTCAGTCAACTTCCACCAATTTCTGAGCTCTCTAGTTCCAATAATGTGTTTGATGTTGCTGAAGCTTTTGTTTCTGGTGCTCCCACTTCTCAAACAGATGATTTGCAATATATTCTTCCTCTTGCTCCTCAAAATCATCATCCCATGCAAACAAGAAGTAAATATGGTATTTTTAAACATAAAGCACTTCTTACAACAAATGCGGCTGTCAATGTTGTTTCTGAGCCTCATACTTTTGCCTCAGCAGTTAAGGTTTCTGAATGGTAGCATGCCATGCAAGAAGAAATAAATGCTTTGAAAACTCAAGGTACTTGGACATCGGTACCTCTTCCTCCTCATCGTAATTTGGTGGGATGTAAATGGGTTTATCGTATTAAGAAGAATCCAGATGGGTCTGTTGCTCGATACAAAGCACGGCTTGTGGCTAAGGGTTTTTCACAAGAAGCTGGTTTAGATTATTCTGAGTTTTTCAGCCCTGTCGTAAAGCCTTCTGCAGTTAGATTAGTTCTTGCTCTTTCTACTACTTTTGGATGGCAATTACAACAACTTGATGTGAAGAATGCCTTTCTTCATGGGCATTGTTCATGAGGAAGTATACATGTCTCAACCCCCTGGATTTATTGATTCTGAGAATCCCTCTCTTGTGTGTAAGTTGCATAAGTCCCTTTATGGCCTTAAGCAAGCTCCTCGAGCTTGGAATGACAGATTCACTAGGTTTTTTTTCCCTCTCTTGGCTTTACGGCTTCTTATGCTGACCCTTCTCTTTTTTTTCACAAGGAGGCTGATTCTTTAGTCTTTCTCTGTTATACGTAGATGATATCATCATCACTGGCTCTCATTCTACTGTTATTCAAATGGTTATTGATCAACTTTCGAAGGAATTTGATATGAAGCATCTTGGAGCCCTTTATTACTTTCTTGGTCTTCAATTCAGTATCCATCTGATGGTATTGTTTATTCATCAGTCTAAATATATTCATGATGTGCTTACGAAAGCTAATCTTTTGGAGCAAGCCTTGTGTTACACCTTGTCATCCCAATCATAAGTTGCTCAAAGACGGCAGTTTCCTTATTCAGATCCTGCTCATTATCGCAGCATTGTTGGTGCTCTTCAATATCTCACATTCACACGTCCAGACATTGCCTATGCTGTGCATCAAGTGTGTCAGTTCATGCATGCTCCTCTGGATACTCATTACCTTGCTGTTAAACGTATTCTTCGATATCTCAAGGGTACTATTGATCATGGGTTGCTGTACAAGAAAGGCTCTTTGGATATGACTGCTTACACTGACGTAGATTGGGCTGGTGATCCCAATGATTGTCGATCCACAAATGGTTTTGTTGTCTTCTTAGGTTATAATCCTGTTTCTTGGTCCTCAAAGAAGCAACAGTCTGTTTCTCGTTCCTCAACTGAAGTTGAGTATCGTGCTATGGCTGTGGCTGCAGCTGAGGTTGTATGGTTACAGCAGCTTTTATCTGATTTGCATTGTCCTCTTCTTCGGAAACCGATTTTATGTTGTGATAATCAGTCTGCTATGGCCTTATCCTCTAATCCAGTTCTTCATTCTCGTGCTAAGCACATAGAGATTGACTGTCATTTGTTCGTGAAAAGGTCACTCGTGGTGACTTGCATCTTCAACATGTTTCTTCTGCCCAGCAGGTTGCTAATGTGCTTACTAAGGGCTTATGTTCTCCTTCTTTCACTTTTCATTGTTCCACCCTCATGCTTGGTCCTCATGTGCATGAGGTTGAGGGGGGATGACAGAGTGTTAGACACTTGTACCTATGATATGGTGACAAGTGTCATAATGTGATTAGCTGAGTCTAGAGTTTCTTTATAGGTCTGTTATGAGTTAGTTAGGCTAATGAGTTACATAGTAACTGTGCTTGTAATACGATCATTATCAGAAAAATAATAACAGAAAATCCCTTTCTTCTTCTACAATTCTCTGAAACTATTCTTCTATCTTCTTAGTGTTTTACTTTGGAGGTGGCAGGCATTCCACTGTCCGCGAAAAAAAAAAAAAAAAAAAAAAAAAAAAAAAAAAAAAAAAAAAAAAAAAAAAAAAAAAAAAAAAAAAAAAAAAAAAAAAAAAAAAAAAAAAAAAAAAAAAAAAAAAAAAAAAAAAAAAAAAAAAAAAAAAAAAAAAAAAAAAAAAAAAAAAAAAAAAAAAAAAAAAAAAAAAAAAAAAAAAAAAAAAAAAAAAAAAAAAAAAAAAAAAAAAAAAAAAAAAAAAAAAAAAAAAAAAAAAAAAAAAAAAAAAAAAAAAAAAAAAAAAAAAAAAAAAAAAAAAAAAAAAAAAAAAAAAAAAAAAAAAAAAAAAAAAAAAAAAAAAAAAAAAAAAAAAAAAAAAAAAAAAAAAAAAAAAAAAAAAAAAAAAAAAAAAAAAAAAAAAAAAAAAAAAATTTAGAGCTTTTTCTCTTACCTTTTTTGAGTGGTCTTTTATTGTATTTTCTCTTTTCCCTTCAGATTGTGGATTCCTCTGTCCACTCTTTCTAATTAGCTCTTCTACTTTAATAATTTCTGTTTCGATTTGTAATATATTAGTGAAAAAGTTTTTCGGATTTATAATATGGTAATAATCTGACCGTGATTCTACATAGTCTACGAAACCTCCATTGTTGTAATAATCGAAAAAGATTTTTAAAAAAACAAAAACAAAAAGGTGCATATGTTACAGGATCAATAGACAAAGCGAAATAGTTTGTCTTTTTATTTTTAGGGTTGTTATGATCAGATAGGCCCTTGCAACTCTTATATCCTAAACATAAAATTATCAATTTTTAAATTATTATAAAATAAAATAAAAACCCAAATTTGAATATAGGTTAATACTTGTCCTAAAATTACAAAATATTTACACACTATGCCATCTACTTTTGTTGTCAAATCTCTTATGTTTAGCATTTAGATTTAATTCTTTTTAATTTGGCACCTATTTAATATTGAAACGTTTAGATAAAAATAAATCAATGAATACATAAATAAAAATTGTAAGTTTATAAAATAAAATAAAAATATCATTAGAGTTTAAGCTAAAATGTTAGCCAGCCCACCCATTCAAAAATTTATGGTTTTGCATTTGGGTAGGTAAGCATCTGTTTGGTTCAAGGTTTAAAAGCGTGAGAATGGGTTTCAAATTGCATTCCCATGTTTGGTAAATGCAATTTTGGAATTACCCATGTTATTTTTAAATACCACTTTTGACCTTTAAAAAAATTTCATATTAATAACCTTAAATAATAATAAAAATCAAAGGTATTGTTGGAAAACTTGATAACTTTTCATTACTAATACTGAACTAATCAAACATGGGAATGATAGATAATTACATTTCCCAGCATTCCCAAACGTGTGAATGAACATCCTCCATTCTCATCTTGTAGGATTAGACATGGAAAGTTTATTCTTAAGAAATTCAATCCGCGAACCAAACGGGCCACAAGATCAATAGTTAAGAAAACAATAAGCACAATGATTAAATTTCAACAAGAAGAAACTGTGGCATAACATAACTAAGCTTTGAATAATTAGAAAATGGCTACAATGTGTCTTAGTAAAAGAAAATTAGTTACTCATAGTCATGGGAACCAAGCAAAACTACATGGACAAAGAAATGAAAAAGGATAGAGAGTTACGACCACTCTTCCTTGCTCCAAGAGTGAATAGCGATTTTTCTATGATCCTTTGAGCAAAGTCGATCTCTCTTATTTTAAAGGAACCTAAACCCTATAGAAACTGGGCCTAAACAAGTGATCTTACACGAAAACTTAATTGCCAAGTTGTGTAATGGATATCTCAATTCATCATCAACCTAAAATTGATGAATTGAGCTATCAATTAGAGTTGGGTACCTCAAACCCCAAACTAATTATGTAAGAGATCCATTATTCCTTTTTAGGCCTTGTTCACCATATTTCATACTGAAAACTCTCCTCCCACGTCACATTAAAGGTAGGCAAGCTGTAGAGCTCCTCCAAGGCCTATTTCAGTGGAGTCCTTACTTGCACGCCTGATCAATACAAATCATACGTAATCTGTTCAATTTAATTTTATGGTAGCTAATACTCAGTAAGAGAATTTATGCAACTAAAGTAAATTGAACAGATTTTTTTGTAACAGAGTTGACGAAATTGGGCACAACTACAGAGAGAGAGTTCATGAGGGATCCGGTTTCTTTGTTTGGATTCTTTCTGTCATGATCTGTTTGACTTCTCCCCTCCATATGCCACCTCATTAAAATTTAATTCAAGGGATTTCAAGTTATACACATCCTCTTTAACATAAAACCTCAATTTCCTAATAATTATAAAAAATAAATATATTAAAATAATAAAAAACCTAACTCTAAACTAACGTGAAACTTAACATGGTTGGTCTCTCTTCTCCCTTATTTTTTAAAGTCTCTGTAAGCATTCATTTTCTGGATCCCTCCAAGATGAGTTAGAGTATTTGTTTTTAACGGGAAACATGGTGAGCTTGAAATTGGTAATTTATTAAAAGGATTCCATTTAATAATATTAAAACGAACAAAAGGAGACTAATATGCTTTCATCTTTAAATCCAAAACATGGTGAGCTTGAAATTGGTAATTTTGGTTTCTATTAACCTATTATTTTATTCCAGAGAAAGGAAGGAAGAAAGGTAAATTTTGGGGGAGACTTGGAAAGGAAGAAGGAAAAAAAAAAAAAAAAAAAAAAAAAAAAAAAAGGATTGGTGGAGTAAAAGAGAAAGAACGAAACAAAACAAAAAAAAACTAAACTGATTGGGGGAGACGTTGTAGAGAAAATAAGTAGGGAATTGGGGGAGATGTTTGCAGATAGGAAGAAAGTTTCACGTTAGTTCAGTCAGAGTTTTTATTTCTAAATTATGAAGAAATTGTGTTTTTGTTTTAAAGATTATGTGTCTAACATAGGTCATCACTAAGAGAGGGCTAAATCCTCATTTTTACCCTTTCACATCCAAAACCCAAAATCCATCTCTAGTAAATGGGCTATATGTGCCATGTAACCGAGTCAAATCCAGTCAGCAAGCCGAAAGGGCTCTATGCTGGGGCAAATGTAGGATGGTTCTTGAGTGGGTTATATCTTATTTTATTATTATTTTTTCAAAAGAAAGCAAGCCTTTTGGATTCTTCAAAAGCCTACGGCTCTTTCCACCATAGTATGAAATATAGATAATATCAACGAAATATCGAGGATATTTCAGTTTTTTCGAATCACGGATATTTCGGAACATATCCATGTACATATCATATAAATATCAACAATATCGACGATAATATCGGAAAATATCGATGTCGATAATTTCACTCACACTTCAACAATATTTTGTCAAAATATCGATATAATATCACTTATTCCTCCAACACCTTAACCACCATATATTACTTATGTTTTAGTGATAATATGCTAAAATATTTATATTTATATTGGTAGCATGTTAACAATTACATGCAAAACTATTTGGGGATTTATCATTTGATGAATACTCTTCACAATACACTTACTCTACACATAGAGATGATGAAGATAGTAAAAAAATTGAACCTCATAGGAACTCTACGTGGTACTAAGTCATTCATGTATCTTACCATGCAATGTATAAAGTGTAAAATATTGTACTAAATCATTGTATATAAATGATTATGGTGTGTTTAATCTTTTTTCATTAATTACTATATATTTTCTACATTCACAGTGTTTGCCAGCTCGCTGTATAATCAACTTAAATCAGTTAAATCCATCATGTAATGCATTTCCTTCTAATTTTTTTATAAATAAACTAATAGATAATTTACTAAATAAACATTCTCCAAAGTTTAAATAAAAATTTCCAAGTTTTTCTTACAATTTCCGTGGTTTTTATTCAATTTTTATAGATTACCGATATTTCTATGTTTTTAGACTACCGATATTTCCAATATCATCGATATTTTAGACCATGCTTTCCACAAATTATGCAATGCCTGCCCATGAGGTTCTCTCAGGCTGCTGACTCAAATGATGTCAGCTAGCCATTATATATATATATATATATCAAAAAATCCTAAAAATTATTTTTTCTATATTTAATTATAAAAAATCCTAATTTTTTTTTTCCATAAATACCAATCTCATTTCTACATAATTCTCACATTATTTTCATCCTTCTACATAATTTCCCACAATTTTTTCATCCATCCAACAATGCCAAGAGATGATGCTTATCTTTTCTAATTTGTTAGTTGTTTTAAAATTATACAGTATATGTAAAGAACATACTAAAAACTAATTAAAAAATTGGGGCGGCTATGATTTAGCCTAACACTGCTTGTGACAGTAAAAATATAGCCCATCACTATTCCTTACGAAACTATAATTTATTCTGTAAGTTGGACTCCTTTGCAGATCAAATTTCCAATTGGTGTAGGCTTCTGATTGTTGTTGGAGTTGGATTCCTAGTAGAAATGAGCTTGTGATTCCTCCTTGATCCGGGTTGTCCAACCTGTATAAATATAGGGCTTCTCTTCACTCTTTCTCACATCACAAACTTAACTTCTCTACTTTCTGGCTTGAGAAAGATCTTGGAGAATTTGTACTGCTTGTTGAAGAGAGGAGTTGCTGTGCATCCAAAGTAAGTTGAGCTCGTAAAAATATATATGCACATATATATATTTTTCCAATTTTTGGCAGCAAGGAGGTGGTCCAGCATGGGTTGCAAGTTTGTGGATCTGACTGACAAAAGCTGGAGAATTCGTGCTGGAATCAAATGGAGCATGCTAGTCTTGGAGCTACCTGGCCTAGGCTGGAGTAGACGTGCGCCCAAGGGAGAGCATGGAAGAGCTGAGCCCAAGGCAGAAGGATGGAGGCGTTGGGCTTCAGAGCAGAGGCATTGAGCGCTGGGCCTTGTACGCGACACAGGGTTGCGTTAGGCAAGCAGGCCACATGCGCTGGGCTAGACCACAAGGTGAGCGCTGACGCGGAGCAAGGGCCTCGTCGCTGCACGGGCTTGGCGTGATGGGCTCGAGCTCGAGGAGTATGCCCAAGTTCGCCTCTACAAGGTCAAGCTGTTTGACAGTCTTAGTCAAGGAGATCACGCTTGGCATGACGATGTGTTGGAAGTTAGTGGACGGTGGGAGGGCGACGTTGGTGACGGCCCACTTGTTCCCATCACCTATTGCGATGGTATGTCTTTTTGCGGCTTTTTTGATATGTTCATTTTTATTTGAACTTCTTGAAGTGTGGCTGACTAACTTCTGTCTTCTGCTTTTAGTGAACAATATCAGCAAGCAATTGGCGCTTGGGCCTAACATGCCTAAGGTCCGTCGTGCTTTGAACATCCCCCGAAAGTTTCGTGAGTGGCACTGGCTGTTGAGTGAGCATCGGGAGGAAGACAGTGGTCTGCCCCCTACCGAGGATGTCGAGAGATGGAAGCAGAATGGTCGGACCCTGATGATCTATCCGCTGAACAAGAGGAGTGCTCTGTTGAACAAGAGGAGTGTTCTGCTGAACCCCCATAAAAAAGGAAGGCTAATATCAAGTCTTCGAGAACTCAAGCTACTTCTTCACGGGCGAGGAATGTGTCTCCATTGAGGAAGAAGCCAAAGCTCCCTTCTACTGAGAAGACCCAAGTAGGACTTATTCCCGCATCATTTGCTATGGTCAAGCATCTTGTTGGTGCAGATAGCAAGAAGATTGGTGGTCATGATTTGCTCCGCGAAGTGGTCCGTGAGCCGTCTAGCTCACCTGTTGAGAGGCAAAGAGATGCAGATTTTCCTCTCCAAAGTTCAGGTCACTTATACCAGTCGAAGAGTGGAGGTCGATGTGGGAGGTCTGCTCACTCAACCAACCATCATGATCCAACTGTTGAGTCACGTGTAGTCAAGCATGGAGTTGATTCGTCGCCGCAAATTCTTTTGGAAGTGAGGTTGGCATAGGCTAGGAAAGCAAGAGAGTCATCTGCCCAGGCGAAAGGTTCTTCTGCAACGTCAGGGGTTGATCCAAAGGTGGACCAGTCTAGCTCTGCAGGGGATGCGGGCGTGTCTGATTTGCTCAAGATGCACTTTCTATCAAGTCCATCCTCTTGTGCTGAGCTGGTTGATCAAATCCGTCAGGCTGGCGATCCTGGTACTTTTTCAAGTCTTTCCTTAGAAAAACAAAGGGAAGCAACACTTCATCTACTTCAAAAAGGAGTAGTTTTTGCTGCTGAGACCATTTGGAACTGGTCTGCTGTTGCCCCATCTTCTGCTCAGCACAGTGAGTTGGAGAAGAAGAATGCCAAGCTAGTTAGCAAACTTTCTACCGAGCAGACCCGTTATGAGAAGAAGACGTCTGATTTGCGGGCGATGATATCTGAGCTCAAGAGTTCCTTTGCTGAGAAGGATTCTGAGCTTAACTCTTCCGCTGCTGACTTGGCAAGTCGAAAAGATGCTTACTTCCACCTTGAGCGCAAGACTGCTGACATCTCTCATAGCTACGACAAGCTTTTAGCTGGATTTCACGCCTATCATGAGTCTGCTGAGGAATCCAAGTCCGAAGTTGCCATGGATGCGTACAAGTTAGGCTACTTGGACTGCACAAATGGACATGATCCCTTCTATGCCATTGGAGATGAAGACATCAAGGTGCTCTATCCTGACTTGCCCATTGTGCAAAGTGAGGAGGCTAATGTTGTGAACACAGAAGGAGCTGAAGAGCAGGTGGCTGAAGAAGCGGTAGCCGAAGAGGATGAAGCAAAAGAGGATGCAGTTGATGATGTGGTGGCAGACATCATAGATCAGACCTGCGGAGCTGCTGAGAGCGTGGTTGATCAAGTGGATGCTGAAGAGGCTGCAAATTAGGGATCTCCTATAGGCGTTTCGGAGTAGACGAAAACTCCTTTATTTCTTTTCATCTTTTGCAGTATGCTTTTTGTTTAAAATAATTGGTCTTGTTTGACCATCTTCTTTTTGTTTGAACTTGGCCGGTTGGTCACTTTGCTATGGAAATTTCAGTCTTTGTTTTTCAATTTCAATTTGCATATTGTCTTGTGAACTGCTTGAGTAATCGGCTAGTGTCTTGGCTATACATTTTTCTTAGGATTTTGGCAAAAGCCAGGGTCCCCCTTAAGGGACTCCAGACGTTTTCTGCATTTTCCTTAGGACGTTGCTTATGGGCAACTATTTGGTGATCCTGCCTCCCTTAGAAAACGGATAGGAACCTGGATATCTCCCGCAGGAAGCATGGTGACCCCCTTTTAAGAAATTCCTGGGGCACCTTGCGTCTCCCTTAGGACGCTGTTTTGCGGGCTGTGTCTCCCGAAGGACGCTTCTGGTCGTCGCCCTGCTTCTCCCTTATGACGCTTTTTATGGGCAATTGTATGGCTATTTTGCCCCCTTAGGAAATGGATAGGAACCTGGATACTTCCCTTAGGAAATTCCTGGCGCACCCTAAGCCTCCCTTCGGACGCTTCTTTACGGGCTGTGTCTCTCGAAGCACGCTTCTGGTCGTCACCCCTGTGTCTTCCTTAAGACGTTTTTTGTGGGAAACCGTCTTTTGTTGTGGCACATTTTGGAATTTGCAGTAGTTGCTTCTCTTATTTAGAAATATGCAGTACTCAGTCATTTGCTAGAGACTAAGCAGGTAGAAAGAAGCATCATGGATAGTATCTTTGGAGGTGGCAGGCATTCCACTATCGTAGAATGTCCTTCCCTTCCATGGTGTCCAGCGTATAGCTTCCTCTGCCCTTGGACTGGCTGTTTACGTAAGGGCATTCCCAATTTGGTTTCATCTTTTTAGACCCTTGTCTTTGTGCAGTGACGAAGGCCTTTCTTAATACAAGGTGGCCTAGTTGAAACTGTCTGATCTTGGCTCTTTTGTCGTAGTAAGACTTCAACTGATGTTGATAAGAGACAACTCGGACAATGGCCTTCTCGCGCTCGCCTCCATTCACTAAGTAGTCGATGATAGGGTCTTGCAGCTGGGGTCTTCATCGATTTGCAATGAGTCAACTGGCTCTATTTGTTCGATGCTTGGGCGGTCAAGGTGTTCAACTGGGATGGAGCGTTTGAATTAGGTGTCCAATGTTGATCCTAGACTCGCCAATGCATCTGCATGAGTGTTCTCTGCTCGTGGAACTGATAGGAGCATATTTATGCGACTTTGGTATCTTATTTCTTTGCATTTACTTAGTTAATTCCCATTTATTAGAGTGATTTAGCTTATTTTCGTACTATTGTAGGTCCAGATGGCAAGATTGGCAAGAAAGGGCATTTTGGAGCATTTTAGAGCAGTTTTGGACTTGGAATGGGTAGCATATGCATGGGCCAAGATGGATGGACGTTTTTGAAGTTCGAAGAGGCTAGGAATGTGCTAAAAAGATGGGGAAATTAATTCAAGAATCAGCTTCTGGGAAGTAAAAAACCTTAACTGATTTTATTTTATTTTACCTTATCCTAATCCTATTCGACCTAAATTCCAGCTGTAAAAGGGGGGGATTAATTTCAGATTAGGAAACCTAAAAACCCTAATTTCGTGGGTTTCTATTGGGCCCTATTATTCCTAAAGAAATCTTCCAAACAAAACCCTAATTTCGTGGGTTTCTGCTGGGCCCTTTTACCCTAGATCTATCACATATATAAAGGAGGGGTTGCCGCAGGAGAAGGGAGTTCTTTTGGTGCCGTAGCAAGAAAGGAGAAAGGGAGAAGAAGAACTTGGAGCCGGAAACTGCTGCATCCATTGGGTTTTTCAGAGTTCTTCCCTTGATTAGTTCAAATGTTTATTCTATATTGCTTTTCAATTATTATGAACATGTGTAACTGAATTTCTTCTTAGTTAGAGGTGAATTCGAAGCCATGGACATATGTTTTACATGAATTGATTACTTCCAGTTATGGTTTCATAAAGTATGAATGTGATTTACTTTTCTGTTTTATTGAGGACTTATTCTTGCATGTTTATTAAGGATGCATACTTAGTTTGTATGCAGGGATTTGATGCTAGAATATAAGGGAATTTCACCTAATCGTTATGAACTTATATTCACAAGTAGTAAAAGTCACTAGTCATGATTGTGTTAAGTAAATTCTTGGCAGGAGTATCATGCTTTTCATAGTTACAATTGTCTTGTCAAGGCTTATGATTTTCATAGAACTTAATGATCTTTGATATGTATCTCTATCATGCTGTTCATATAGGGAACTTGATAAGGATAATTTGATTGCGTCGCTGAGTCCAATTCAATGAACTTAGGAAAATCTGAGAGTTAATTAGTGCATTCACAATTAATTTGGGGCTTTGTCATTCATACTTTATAGAAAGAGTAACTGGAGATCGATTTGTGTGCATATGTTCCATGTGTGGAGAAGAATCCTCTAGCTATCCCTTAATCCATATTTCATTCACAACTTAGTTGTTTGCTGCTGTCAGTCTTACTTTAGTCTAAATCGTCAGAATTCCCCCCAATCATTGTTCCCTTAACTTAGTTTCCAGTTTAATAAGTTTAATTTGTGTTGATTAGAATCCCTCCTAATCCCCGGAATAGAACGATCCCTACTTACTCGTACTACGATTGCATGATTTATAGGGTTTAATTTGTGCGTTAGTTATTTCTCACGCCACATAACTAGGCACCAACGCGATAAACTTAAAAAAAATTGCACGGTTTTATGTGTGGGATGACCCTTATTTGTGGAAATATTGCCCTGATCAAATTATTCGTAGATGTGTGCATGATTCTGAGTTTAATTCAATCTTAACCTTCTGTCACACTTATGCATGTGGGGGTCACTTTGGTACACAACGCACAACACTTAAGGTTTTAGAATGTGGATTTTATTGGCCTACTATCTTTAAGGATGCTAGAACTTTTTGTATGACTTGTGATCGTTGTCAAAGAACGGGCAATATAGGTGCAAAAGATCAAATGCCGCAAACCCCTATCTTTTCTGTTGAGATTTTTGATGTTTGGGGTATTGATTTCATGGGCCCTTTTCCTTCTTAACATGGTTTTAATTATATCTTACTTGCTGTGGATTATGTTTCAAAATGGGTGGAAGCAAAAGCCACCCGTACCAATGATTCCAAAGTGGTTGCAGATTTTATTAAAACTAACATATTTGCAAGATTTGGAATGCCACGAGTACTTATAAGTGATGGGGGCTCTCACTTTTGTAATCGGACCATAGAGGCACTACTTAAGAAGTATAATGTCACGCATAAGGTTTCAACACCTTATCATCCCCAAACAAGTGGACAAGCCGAAGTTTCCAACCGGGAAATCAAGCAGATCTTGGAAAAGACAGTTGGACCAACTCGAAAGGATTGGAGCTTGCGTTTGAATGATGCATTGTGGGCATATCGTACTGCCTACAAAACACCAATTGGAATGTCTCCTTTTCGGCTCATTTATGGGAAACCATGCCATCTTCCAGTTGAGTTGGAGCATCGTGCACATTGGGCAGTCAAGACTTTCAACATGAACATTGATGCCGCTGGACTTCATAGGAAATTGCAATTGAATGAGCTTGAGGAAATTCGGACTGAAGCTTATGAGAACGCTCATATTTACAAGGAGAAAACAAAGGCTGCCCATGACAAGATGATTCGTAGTAAAACGTTTTGTGGGGCAGAAAGTGTTACTTTTCAACTCTCGCCTTCGTTTGTTTCCGGGTAAGTTGCGTTCTAAATGGATTGGTCCTTTTGTTGTTACTAATGTTTTTCCCTATGGTGCAGTCCAAATTCAAAGTTTTAAGACGGGACATGAATTCAAAGTGAATGGACACCGTTTGAAGCCATACTATGAGTCTTTTGAGGAGCATGTAGTGGAGGATGTACCCCTCCATGCCATTGGCCCTAGTGAAGCTTAAAGGGAGGTACCGTCCGGCTGGAAGACGTTAAAGCAAGCGCTTCTTGGGAGGCAACCCATGTGTTCAAATAGAAAGACAACGGAATCTCCGGGCTCTACAACCAGATTTGCTCTCTTTTACTCTTCTCTTTATTATTTTTACTTTGCTATAATTGTCTTGTTTGCTAGTTGTCTCTTATTGCTTTCTTGTTTAAAGTTTTCTTTTGAAACATTGAGGACAATGTTTAGTTTAAGTGGTGGGGGTAAACAGAGTGCTTTTCGTGATTTATTTTCAAAATTCACCACCTATCACTACTAATGTTGTTATTCACTGTTTTAAAAAGTGTTTTCGTGCTTTATTTAAATTTTTAAAAAAAAAAAAAAAAAAAAAAGAAAAGTCAAGAGTCGTTTTTGTTGTTTATTTGTGTCTTAGGGTACCTTCCAACACAATGATGAGGATTTGGTTTTTAATTGCATGACTTTTAAAGAAAGTTACAAACATGGGTGGAAGTCTGATATGCTCTTTGGTTAATACTTAGTTATAGTTGTCAATTACGAATTCACATATAAAAAAAAAAAAAAAAAAAAAAAAAAAAAATAATATTTTTGTAACATGCTGGAAGGAAGGAAACTCAAACTAACGCTGCAACCCTGAGAGACTTGAGCCTGTTCTTTGTTTGGAGAGTTATTAATCTTGATATTCTTGTTTTCTAAAGTCGTTGCATGATCTCATTATTTCTTTGCTTTGTTGCTACTTAGAATGCTTTTTCATCTCTTTAGTTCCAAATACTAGAACTCATGCCCGTTCCATTCAAAGCATCAAATTGATTGCGTAACAAATAACAAGATGAAGTTGTTTAGTTACCATCAGAGCCAAAAAGCCTTATCCCTTGCATATGCATTGTAGGTTTAACCATTTTGAAGCCTTATTTAGCTTATTTTCTTTGTTAGCTTGCATTATCCCTACCTATCCTAGTATAAGAATATCCATACCCTTGTTCTTAAAGAATAGTCAAG